TATTACTTTTATTTATTAATTAAATTTATAGGGTGCCCATCTCACCGTCGAGCAACTCGGGGTGCTTTGTAACCTCATAAAAGAGCAATGTAAAAGATTGAGAATGTTAAAAGAAAATTAGAAAAAAATTAGATAAGAAAGAACAGACATAAATAAGAATGTTTATAATGGCTCATATGTCCTTTTCCAAGAAAAGAATTCTAATTCTGCCTAAATCAAGATGGAGGTGGAATTGTTTCTTTTCGGTTTGCCCATCGTCTTCCTGGCCCTCATCCTCTTTTTCTTCCATTCTTCCCTCCCTCTCTAGATCTCCAGCGTCTCTAATTGCACCGATTACCAGACGCGGCGGCTGAACATCATGTACTATGACGAGAAAGAGCAGCTCAGCTTCGCACATACCGTAAGCTCGGTCCGGGGAGACCCTGGGTGGAGGGGAGATGTCTCGAGAATAAAAAAGGTGGAGGGGGGGTGGGCTGCAGAGGGAGAAAGCACCCACCTGATGCCTTTTCTCCCTCTGGGCAATCTTGGGGCTGGGGGCTTGGTGTGTACGGCCTCCAAACATTCACGACCCCTCTTGTGCCTTTGCAGGTTAATGGAACGGCTTGTGCAATTCCCCGGATGCTCATTGCCATCCTGGAGTCCAACCAACTCAAGGTTTGTTAAATGGGGGGTGGGTGGGTTTCCTTTGCATATGCTCCAGAATACAGCAGCCTTGCGCAAGCTGGAGCCCTCCGGGTGCATTGAAAAAAAGAGCCTTGGTGGTGCAGCGGACTAAGTGCTGTTAAGTAGCACTTAGCTGCCAGCTGCCTGCAATTAGTGCGAGTTCAAATCTCACCAGGCTCAAGGTTGACTCAGCCTTCCATCCTTCCGAGGTAGGTAAATTGAGGACCCAGATTGTGGGGGCAATAAGCTGACCTTGTAGAAACACCGCTTATGGGGGGCCAAAAGCCCTCATAAGCAGGTATATACAAAAGAATGAAGGCTATTGCTATAAGTGCATTGTAAGCTGCCCTGAGTCTTCGGAGAAGGGCGGCATATAAATTGAACTAATAAATAATAAATAATAATAAATAAACTACGACTCCCAGAATTCCTAGCCAGCAAGGGAGGAGAGATGCTTGTGGGGGGGGGGGGGAATAGGGAGGACATTAGCACCCACTTCCTCTGGTCCTAGCCTTCTCCAATGTTGATGACCCACTCCCAGGGTGCAGAGCAAATAGCCCAGCTGATTGGGGGAATGCTGGGAGTTCTAGTCCCAATGTGCTTGGAAGGCACCAGCTTGAGGGAGAAGCTGTTATACCCATCTTAATGAATTCAGATTTTCTTTGGCCCTTGAAGTCCAATTCTGAGTTGCAGGAACAAGTCAGGCTGAAACTGCCAAAGTCAACCTCACTCTGTAAATCAAATAAATATTTGCATCCATACTGTAAATAAAATGGGAAGAGATGGTCCTTGACGTGCAACCGTTCGTTTAGCAACAGTTTGAAGTTGCAACGGCACTGGGAATAGTGACTTGTGACCTGTCCTCACACTTAACGACCAGCGCAGCAGTATCTCCCTGGTTCACACGATCAAGATTTGGGTGCTCGATACCCCGAATTTTGTATTTATGACATCCTTTGGGGGAGGGGGGGGTCTCCTACAATCACCATTTGCTGGCTTCCACCCTCCCAGCTGGCTTCCAACAAGCAGAGTCATTGGGGGGGGGGGAGTCAGATTTGCTTAACGACCATGTGATTCACTTAACAACCGCAGCGGTTTGCTTAACAGTGTGCCACGAAAGGTACATCGGAGCGCGACTCACTTAAAAACGGTCTTGCTCGGCAATGGGAATTCAAACTCCGTTTGCGGTCGTAAGTCGAGGACTGTGAGGAATGATGCACAGGTGATAATAATCCTTTTCTGCTTTTGTCCCCACCTTCTCCTTCGCCCAGGACGGCAGCATTCGGATCCCGGCAGTCCTGCAGCCTCTGATGGGCACCGAGGTCATCCACAAACCCAGCCACACCCCGCTAAAATACATCGGTCCCAACCAGGCCAAGAAAGGGAAGAAACCAGTCTTGGAGAAGCCCTGGAAAACTTAGAAGGAGCGAGGACCCTACGTTAGGGGCCGGAATACCGCTGCGAAACGGGGCAGCCCCTCCTGAACAGCAAAAGTGCCACTTCTACCTCCGACTGGCAGCTGGAGAGGGCTCCGATGTGGCGTGTTGCATCGGCTTCCCCTTGCAGAAGTCACAAATGGAGAAAGACGTTTTCTTGCGCTGTTATATTCTGGGATGGTGCCTTGCTGGGTGGCATCGGGCCGTAGAGGGAGACCCCTGTTCTCCTGTCTGGGGTCTTCCAGAGATGATCCACCTGGTACCAACCCAACTAGCAGGGCCTCTTTCCAATGGAGGCATCTCCTCCTACACAAGAGGGGCCTCGGTACCTTTCGGCCAGGCCTCTCTTGTTCCTCTCTGAAGGATGGAGACGTATTTTAGAGACTGGGGGAGGTCCCTGCGTGGGGAGCAGAACGCTTATTTCAGACTCTAGTCTCTTCCTCTTGAATCCTGCACCCTTCTAATGTTTCGTCCTTTACTCTTTCCGTCCCTTGAAATTCTTTTTGGAAACAGCCTGCATCTCAAATCCCAACCGGGCTAACTTGACCTGGAAGGAGAGGGCTAGAAATAACATCTGTAAATAAATAAAGAATTGGGGTGATCTTTTCAATGGCTTCCTTTGCAGGCTTGACTGAAAAAATCTGGTACCATCTGCATCCTTTCAAAAACGAGCTGTCCCTGCGTTGGGGATGAGCCCCCTGGGTTTTCTCCCACCCACCCCTCCAAGGCAAGGATAAAGACCCGTTTTGGGGGAGCCACCAGCTGTTGGGGGGGATGCTACCCCGTTCTGCAACTCCAGCTGTTGCGCGCACTCTCGAGTGAGTTCCGCCTGACAGCTGTCGTCCTCTGGCACAACAAGTTGGTTGCACGCTACGGTGCTCCATGCGTGACTTCAGAACAAAGGGCCTGTGACAAAAGGAAGATCAACAGGTGCAGCTGGTCAAGGGAGAGGGAGCAGGCTGCCATGGAAACCACTCTTCTAAGAAGCTTGTCTGGAGCAAAAGGGAGTTGTAGCTTAACAACAATAATTGGGCCAGTAGATGTGGAACTTTATGGATGCTTGGAGGCAGTGGTGAAATTCAATTTTTTTTTTTGCTACCGGTTCTGTGGGCGTGGCTTGGTGCGCATGGCAGGGGAAGGATACTGCAAAATCCCCATTCCCACCCCACTCCAGGGGGAAGGATATTGCAAAATCTCCATTCCCACCCCATTCAGGAGCCAGCCAGAGGTGGTATTTGCCAGTTCTCCAAACTACTCAAAATTTCCGCTACCAGTTCTCCAGAACCTGCTGGAATTCATCCCTGCTTGTAGGTATATAGTCACCCAAAGGGCAGAAGGACATTAGTTCACATAAGGGGTGGTTTTGCCTCAGGTGTGTTTTGGGAATAGAACAACTTTACGGGAGGGGAAACTGGGAGACCAGTTTGGTCTAGTTGTTAAGGTACCAGGCTAGAAACTAGGAGATGGTGAGTTCTAGTCCTGCCTTAGCTGGCTTGGTGGGTGACTGGCAATCACCAGGAGACAGTGAGTTCTAGTCCCATCTTAGAAATCAAAACCAGTTGGGTGAGTTTGGGCCAATCACCAGGAGACAGTGAGTTCTAGTCCTGCCTGAGGCATGGAAGCTGGCTGGGTGACTTTGGGCCAATCAGATTCAGCCCAACCCACCTCACAGGGTGATTGTGGGAAATAGGAAGATTGAGTTCTGGTTATGTGCACCGCCTTCAGTTATTTAACAAAAGCAGGATAAGAATAGGGTGCTGAGTTTTCATGAAAAGGCTCTTATGTCATTCAAGGAAATGGGAAGTTTGTTTTTAATTGCAACTTGCCCTTCCTTTTCTGTGCTGAGTTTCCGTTTTGACCATCCCCTTAATCGCCATTGGCTGTTCTTTGCTTGGCCGTATTATTCTCTATGGGAAAGTACGACAGGGGCATCTTTAAAATATATATATACAGTATATATATATATATGTGTGCAAACAAGTTCATTTGTGCCTAATGTCATAATCGATTTCTCAGATGACAGAAACGTGTCTCCCAATTGTGTCGCCCAACGCCAAGTTGTGTTACTTCAATCCCGAGTTTCCAAAGATTTGCTGAACGTTGGGTGGTCCTTCTGGGTGCTAATTGAGGGTGGCAATGCCTCCTTGAATTTCATGAAGGAGTCTCCAAGCTTGGCAACTTTAAAACTTGTGGACTTCAACTCCCAGAATCCCCCAGAAGTGAACGGCTGGCTGGGGAATTCTGGGAATTGGAGTCCAACCATCTTAACCTTGCCAAGGTTGGACATCCATGATTTAGAGTCAGAAACAAAAAACTGGGTGATTTAAGTTTCTGGCTCTAAATCAGGGATGTCCAACCTTGGCAACTTTAAGACTTACGGACTTCAACTCCCAGAATTCCCTAACCAGCCATGCTCTTCCCCTGTGCTGGCTGGGGAATTCTGGGAATTGAAGTCCATAAGCCTTCAAAGTTGCCAAATTGGACACTCCTGCTTTAGTGCCACTAACCTATTTCAAACATTGTGCGCTTAAGACGCATTGCAAGCTTGGGATGCCTTTAATTCTGAAAACGTCCCCCCCCCCCGTTTCCTACCCCCCTCCCCCCCGGTTCAAATCCTTCCTCCTCCCCTCCCTCACACTTCTAGGGTTGCATAAAACGATCCCCTCCCCTCTTTCCAGCCGGAGGTACCACCAACCTGCCTTGCAGGCAATGCTAAATCGTGCACGAATTCTCTAACCCACTGGAAAGGGAGATTGATTGATTGATTTTTCAAAAAGGTGTGTGTGTGTGTGTGTGTCTCATTAACACCAGTATAAAGAGACCCTCTCCTCCCCCAGCCCCTCAACCTTCTGTTTTTAGGAGCAGGTGACATCACTTCCTTCCCGGCCTCCTCCTTAGCATTCCCCCCGCCCCTTTCTCCAAAGTCTACGATGCGACTCTGTTCAGTTCCACATGCAAAGACAAGTCCTTCAGGCTCCCCCATCCAAGGACGTTCGCCCGGTTGCTGCAAGAGCTCCCTTTGCGTGGGGTTTCCCCCCACCCACTCCCCCTTTTACTCCTTTCTGTGATCTCCTTTCCTTCTCCCAGCCAAACCCACCGCCCCAAGAAGGACGAGAGAAGCAGCTTTGCTGGGGATTTTTGAGCGATGGTTCGTCTGGAAGCCTCGCTTCTGCTCTTTTGCCTCTGCCAAGGTAAGTCCCGTGCGTGGTTTCCATCCCTTCCTTTCCCCTTCCAGCCCCGTCGGCTCTCCATTCCCCGAGAAAGACGCGAGTGGAACGACCCCTCCAAAGTTTTTCTTTTTTTTAAATTTTTAATATCTTCTGATCGTGCTCCATTAAGCACTTAAGCAGCCTCCTTGCCAGCTCAACGCCGGGGTTTCTTCTTGAACTTCAAATGCAGATCCGGCCAAGGAGCTTGATGATAACAGTAACAGAAAGTTGGAAGGGACCTTGGAGGTCATCTAGTCCAACCCCCTGCTTACTCAGGAGACCTGTACTAGGGATTCGAACCGCCGAACTGTCGACCTTTCTGATCGGACAAGCTCAGTGTTGGGACGTAGAATCTGGGTTTTGTAACCATGTCCCCCGGGGTCTTTCCTGCTGGTTTCCCCACTGCTTCTCAGAAGGGATGGCCCGTTCCTTCTTTGGAGATCTCAAATGTTTTTTTGTCCTTGAAGGAAAAGAATCCGACTTGCGAATGTATTCTAGCGAAATAAAAGAGTGGGATGAGACCCCCTGCTCCAAGCAGGAGATCCTATGCCGTTTCAGACCAACGGTTGCCCAATCTCTCTTTAAAAACCTTCTGTTAGAGTTAAAATATGCCTTATTTCAGTTTTCTTTCTCAATCTGTTACCTTCCCACTACGGGGCTGTAAGCCTTAGAATCATAAAGCTGGGAGGAACCGTAGAGGTCTTCTAGTCCAACCCTCTGGCCAAGAGAGCCTTCTCTTCACCTGCCCAGATACTGCTGGGACCAATAGGAGTTTGAGTCCGCTCTACTTAGAACAGCAGGATATTGGAGAAGGCTGGTGCGGTCGTTTGTTTCTTTCATTCCAACGAAACCCATCAACCTAGTAATCCTGCACAGCTTTGAAACTAGGAGTTGATTATCATCTCTATCAACTTCTTTTAAACCAGTGTTTCTCAACCTTGGTAGCTTGAAGATGGGTGGACTTCAACAGCGCTGGCTGGGGGATTCTGGGAGTTGAAGTCCACCCATCTTCAAGCTTCCAAGGTTGAGAAACACTGTTTTAAACCTTTCTGCCGGAGTGACCCTCAACCTCTCTCAACCTCCTCCTTGAAGGCGGCTCCCTCTTCCCCGGTTGCATTTTTTTTTTTTTAAAATGCTTTTTTTTTTCAAACTCCCCCTCCCCCTCTTCCCGTTCCTTTTGTTCCCTCTCTTTCGATGGCTCTTTTCCCAAAATCCGCCTCCTTTCTGCAATGCCATGCGGAGTCTATGACAAGACCAAGCTGTTATACTGGTAGTAGGGTTGATTTATCTTTATTTATTTATTGCCCCTGTTCCGCTAAATAAAGCAACTATTGCTTTGGATTCGGGGGTTCGTCCCGATGAAGGCAGAGTCATGCTTAGGCCAGCGCTGCGCCAGTCGTGGTCTTCGGAACTTGGACGGGATTCCAACTCGGAATTTCAGCACCTTGGAGAGCGGCGCCTTTTGGTCCTAAGGAGGCTGAAACTTAAAATCCTGTTTTTTTCCCCTATCTAGGCATTTAAAAAAAAAAAAAAAAACACACTCAGCCCTCCTCTTTTTCGTTCCTGAAATACTTGGATGGTGTGAATGGGCTCCCTGCCTGGGTTTTTGGCAACAGACTGACTGCATTTTGTAGTTTGAAAGTTGGCCAAAAGGCTTGATGGATTTCTTGGGCAATGCAGTGTACCGATTAGTTGTAATGGGAGACGGGTTGATGTGATGATGTGTACAGGTTATTGGTGGGCACCCATGGCTCTTCGATAGCCGGCATCCCATCCCAGTTATAAAGTGGGTTTTTTTTTCAAGGCTAAATCAGGATTTCTAGGGAGCAGATCCATTTCTAGATAAAATTGTTCCTTTGTGTCTTTAGTTTTTAGGAGCTGCTACGGTCTAAAAGGAAAGCGTTTTGCTAGCATATCATAATCAGTGGAAAGGATGACCTAGTTTTATAGTGCCCTATTGGTGGCATTTAAATCATAAGGGAAATTAATTTTGCATTTTCAGGGGGGGGGGTGTTTCCTGATGCGTCCATTGTGCCTTCCCAAAAGCGCATGTGCTGCCCCGATATTACTTTTTAATTAAAAAAAAGTAATTTATAAATAAATTGTTTCCTGGCAGAGGCTGATTGCCCAGTTTCTGTCTTCTCTATCCTTGTTTTAAATCACTGTTGTCAACCTCGGTGGCTTTATAATAGGTGGACTTCGGCTCTCAGAATTCCCCAGCTAGTATGCCTGGACTTCAGTTCCCAGAATTCCCTAGCAAATCTAAAGTTGCGAGTACAGAGTTGAAAAAGATCAGGGAAGTGACTCCACACCAAGCAGATATTGTATTTAAGGTAAAGGTTCCCTTCACACATATGTGCTAGTCGTTCCCAACTCTAGGGGGCGGTGTTCATCTCCGTTTCAAAGCCGAAGAGCCAGCGCTGTCCGAAGACGTCTCCGTGGTCATGACTCAACACCAAAGGCGCACGGAACACTGTTACCTTCCCACCAAAGGTGGTCCCTAGTTTTCTACTTGCATTTTTTTACCTGCTTTCGAACTGCTAGGTTGGCAGAAGCTGGGACAAGGCACGGGAGCTCACCCCGTTACGCGGCACTCGGGATTTGAACCGCTGAACTGTCGACCTTTCGATCGACAAGCTCAGCATCTTGGCCACTGAGCCACCGTGTCCCTATACTGTACTTATATTCCTCTAATTTGGCAGCTGGTCTATAAGAGCTGAGATGCCCAGAGGGTATTTAGGAGGCAGCAGTGCCCGAGTTTCTTATCCAGGTCAAGATTGAGTTCCTAAATGAAGGAGGGCATCCAAAAAATAAATAAAAATAAATTCCAATCTCATGCAAAGCAGTAAAGAGCAGGAACCAGCAACACAACATGTTTAGAAGAGAACAGAGTTAATTGGGGTGGGATGGGGGAGAGTGGATGGGGAGGGAGGGAGAGAGGGAGCTGTTTCCTTCCTGTACATGATTGATGTTTTCTCTTTATTCTGGGTTATTTTTTTGGAATTGTTGTTGTGCAGTCTCTAGCATTATGTAAGTCTTATGTAAGTAAAACTGGCACACCTGAAAAACTTAAATCCTTCTCTCTCTGCCTTCCTAAGCTGTTAAGAGTCTCAGCTCTCTGTGCCAGAGGGGAGGGGTAGAAACCCCCCCAGATGATTAACCCCATAATGACAGACTTCTTTGCAACAGCCCTCCCCCCACCCTTTAGTTATCAATGGTCCTTTTTACAGAATAACAGAACAACAGACTTGGAAGGGATCTTAGAGGTCTTCTAGTCCAACCCCCTGTGATTTACTTTAGAAATCAACAGTGGGTCTAGTAAAGAGGACATCAAGAGGGTCTGGGGAGAGTTATTTATTCGGATCGTAAGCTGGCCACAGTCACGGGACAGCGTGAGAGAGGCAGTGCGTCGATTTAAGAAGTAAATAATAAAATTTAAACATATTCACTGTTATTCCGACCGGAAAGCAGCTTTGCCTGCCCTCTGCTGATATCTGCTTGAATAGCAGCTCGGTGTCCCCCAATGAAACAGCCGAAAGGCTTTTCTTGAATGGAGATATACAAATAAGGAAGATTTCATCGAGGGAGGTCTAAGCTTGGCCACTTTTAAGACCTCTGGACTTCAACCCCCAGAATTCCTCAGCTTGCCTGCAGAATAGCATGGCTGGATGGGGAATTCTGAGAGCTGATGGTCCACACAGGTCTTAAAAGTTGCCAAAGTTGAACGACCCTGGTTTAATCAGTCTCATTTCTTCTGGGCTTTTTAGCTTGGGAAGGGAGATCAGAAAATAAAAGGGAGAAGGGAAGGCAAGAAGGGGGAAGGGGAAGCAGGGAGGGGGAAGGGAAGAGGAAAAGGAAGGAAGGAAGGAGTACAGGGAGAGAGGATGAGGAGGGGAGGGGAAGGAAGAGAGGAAAAGGGGGAGAGGAGAGGAAGGAAGGGAAGAGAGGAGAAGGGAGGAAAGAGGAGGAGAGGGGAAGGAAGAGAGGAGGAGGAGAGGATGGGAGAGAGAAGGGAAGGGAAGGGAAGGGAAGGGAAGGGAAGGGAAGGGAAGAGAAGAGAAGAGAAGAGAAGAGAAGAGAAGAGAAGAGAAGAGAAGAGAAGAGAACGCATCTCAAAGTGGAGATGGAGGGAGATAGTTCCCAGGCGGAGGAACATCCTGCTTTAAATAAGAAACTGCTTTGGTTTTTTTGAACTATGAGAGCTCAAAAGAAAAACGGACAGTCAATTTTTGGCGAAGCGATTCGGCACAAGATGAACCTGGTTTAACAACTGAAGCCTGTCACCAAATCACAACGGAGATCCTTTAAAAGCCCCCGAACAGCTGTCTCTTCCCTCACCCAACAGATGCCAATCTGCGCTCTTGCCCAATTCAAAGGGGGAAAAAAACCGAGAAGAGAAACAAAGACTGCAATATCTGGACAGGATGAAGACGCCATAAACCTCGGTTTCCCTCTGTCAGGGCTGGCGAGAGTTTGGAGCTGTGATGCCCTGCAACCCGGACACGATTCGCTTTCCAGAAATTAAGCCACTTCAAGCCTGCTTTTTATTGTGTCTTTTCAAAGGAGGGTACGTCAGAGAAAGCAATTTTGCCTGCCTTCTCTTACGAAAAGCTACTCTCATTGACTGGGGGGGTTACACAATACATCGAAAAGAGGGATAGAATCAAGATCAGGGTTGATACCACTTTATAATGCCTTGGTAAGGCCACGCTTGGGATACTGCATCCAGTTTTGGTCGCCACGATATTAAAAAAAAGATGTTGAGACTCTGGAAAGAGTGCAGAGAAGAGCAACAAAGAGGATTAGGGGACTGGAGGCTAAAACCTATGAAGAACTGGGTTGCAGGAACTGGGTATGTCTAGTTGAATGAAAAGAAGGACTAGGGGTGATATGATAGCAGTCTTCCAATATCTCAGGGGCTGCCCCAAAGAAGAGGGAGTCTAGCTGTTCTCCAAAGCACCTGAGAGTAGGACAAGAAGCAACGGATGGAAACTCATCAAGGAGAGAAACAACCTAGAACTAAGGAGAAATTTCCTGACAGTGAGAACAATTCATCAGTGGAACAGCTTGCCACCAGTTGTGGATACTCCAACATGGAAAGTTTTAAATAAGAGATTGGGCAGCCATTTGTCTGAAATGGTGGAGGATTTCCTGCCTGAGCAGGGGGTTGGACTAGAAGACCCCCAAAGTCCCTTCCAAGTCTTTTGTTATTCTGTTCTGTTCTTTTATCCACATCAACTAGATTAGAAAGCGCCAAGTCCCACCTCTGCTCTTTTATTCCCATGTCACAGAAAGGAAAGTCGGATTAATATTGGACCGGTCATAAGTACAAAGCCTAGCAGGCTAACCAAGCACTGTGTTTTGCTGCTGAAATTTAGGCATGTTTGAATATTTGGCAAACTATGATGCTTTCTCTCTTTTTTTCCCCCCCAGCATTTTCGCTGCCTGTACCTACTCAGGTGTCCAAGGACGATGAAACGGTAAAGGAAAGGGGAAGGGAGGGAGAGTGAAGGCTATACAGGTAGTCCTCGGCTTATAACTGAGGACTACCTGTATATTGAGCCAAAATTTCTGTTGTTAAGTGAGACACTTTTTGTGACTTTTGCCCCATTTTATGTCTTTTCTTGCCACATTGCTTAAGGGAATCCCTGCAATGGTTGAATGAGCAACCGGATTGTTCAGTGAATCTGGGTTCCCCATTGGAAAGAGACCCTCAAAATAGCTTCCACGCCTAACTTCCTGTCTTCTTCTGATTTTCTGGCCAGGTGATTAAATGCATCTCGGAAATCTTAGCAGACACCCTGTCCAGATCCAGCCCAATGCCGGTGACCAGTGACTGCATGAAGATCCTGAGAGAGGGTAAGTGGAGATTTGGGCTCCTCCTCCTCCTCCTCCTTCTCCTCTCCACAAATGTCACTTCCTTCTAGCACTGTTGATGTTACTTAGCTGTGTCGTGAAATGTCTGCAAGAAAACCACCAAGCTCAGGGAGCTCCAAGGACCCCCCAGTCCTCCTCCCCCTCCCTCCCCCTCTTCTCCACAAACCCTACTCCCTTTCTAGCACTGATGATGTTACTTAGCTGGGTCTTGAAATGTCTGTAAGAAAACCACCAAGTTCAGAAAGCACCAAGGACCCAACAGTCGTCCTCCTCCTCTTCCTCCTCCTCTCCGCAAACCCCAGGGAGGCTCACAGGAGACGGTCCCTATTTTCTCGGGTGGCAAAGGAGACAGGGGGGACAATTGTAGCTTCAGACGTACAAGATTCTCTAGCATTAGAGAAGAGCCGTGGTGGCGCAGTGGTTAGAATACAGGCTAATTCTGCCGACTGCCAAGGGTTCAATTCTGACTGGCTCGAGATTGACTCAGCCTTCCAAGGTCGGTAAAGTTGCACCCAGGTTGTTGGGGGCCAGATTCTGACTCTGTAAACCGCTTAGAGAGGGCTGTAAAGCACTGTAAAGCGGTATAGAAGTCTAAGTGCTATTGCTAGTACAGCAAAGTAGAATTTGCTCATCTGGGTTTACCCCACGAGGCGTCAATCCTGCAAATTTAAGGGCGATGCGATCTCTTATCTGACCGTCCTCTTGGCAGCGTCTCTTTGTCCTGTCTCCCAAGCTCTTTCCCACATTCCATTACCTCAACCCTGCACCCTGCCAGTTGCTTGCATTATGCGCAAGCAACACCTGCATGTGTTACTCTGGGAACGTTAACACGAGTTCCATTTCAGACGAGAGAGTCCTGACGATGCTCCATCATCGGCATCTGCTGACGGAGTTGGAGGAACTCGCCCATCAAGGTAAGCAACTCCATTCCTGAGTTCGGTTCCTTGCGAGGTGGAGATGGAGGGTAAGGGGCCCTTTTAGGGTGCTATCTTGGGCTCACTCATGCTTGGGTGTACCGAGGAGGGGGACTCAGGAGCTGCACTCTGGACCAGTATCTTTCTTCTGGAAAAGAACCCACTGGATGTTTTGGGTTCACTTGTGGTCGTAAGTTGAGGACTACCTGTATTGAATTGAATGCTTTATTTGTCCAAGTGCGATTAGTCACAAAAGGAATTTGTCTCAGGGAACATGCAAAGCAACAGATAATCATCATCATATTAATAATAACAATAGGAAGAAATAATAAAGAAGATAAGGATAAATAATACTACTACAGCCATACTACGTGGGTAAGCATACAAAGACGTTAGACAGCACTGTGAGAATTACAGAATTCAGAATCAGCAGAATGACAGCACGAGCGAAAGAGTTGTGGTTTTTTTTTACTTTTAACGTTTACTTTTTCTTCTTCAATGTCTTCCATTCCGTTTCCAGAAAATACAAAGCATCTCCTGGCCCAGGAAAAGGACCACAGTTCTCGGGAAGGAAAGCAAAAAGGAGAACTCAAGAAGAGGGAGGAGGCTGCCCAACAGAAGGAAGCTGCCCCTGAGAAGAGGGAAGAGCACGCTGGTGAAAAGAAAGAAGAGAAGAAGGAGGAAGAGGAGAAGAAGGAGGAAGAGGAGAAGAAGAAGGAAGAGGAGAAGGAGGTGACAAAGAAGGATGAGAAAAGTAAAGACCCAAAGGAGAAAACTGAGGTCTCTCAAGAGGCTTTGAAGGAACGGGATGAAGAGGAAGAGGAAGAGGAAGAGGAGGGAGATATAAAGAAGAGGACCTCCTCAGAGACGTGGCACTCCAAGGAATATTTTGGCCACGTCAAGAAAAGAGGTTCTAGGCCGCCCAAAATCAGAAAGGGAATGCTTCAGGGAGACGAAGAAAGCCAGGAGGGGCAGGAAATGGGCAAGAGACGCTTTAGGATGGATGAGGAAGAGGGGGATGACACCTCAGAAGAGGAGAAGAAGAAATACCATCCTGGAGGGCACAGCGATGATGAGAAGTGGGAGGGAGAAGAGAGGAGATCGGCCGTGGCCAAGAGGGTGGCGGAGAAGGCCAGCGATGAGGAGACCTCACAGTTTGAAGAGGAAGAACAAGAGAAGGGTCTTAAAAGCTCCAAGTCCAAGGCCCACCTCCATAAAGGGTGGAACCCATTGCAGGAAGAAGAGGAGGAGGAGGAAGAAAAGGAGAACCACAACAAGGCGAGATACGGCCACCGCCATCCATCGGTGGACTTGGACCTCAAGATGAGATATTGGAAGGATCAGGTGGATCTGAGGGGCAGACACCACACTCCTGAGGAGGAAGAGGGGGAGGAGGAAGAAAAGCATTCCAGGCAGAGGAAGGTTGGTATCAAGGCAGAGTCACTTTGCGGACCTATCAGCTGGTTTGGTTTAAAAAAAAAAAAAGGAAAGAAGGAAGAATAAAACAGAAAAATAAAAGGAGCTGGGAAGATCCTAAATGAAGATTTAGGCTTCTAAAAAGTGTTTCTCCTAAAATATGGATACTTTAAGATAGGGGTGTCCGGCCTTGGTGATTTTAAGACTTGTGGACTTCAACTCCCAGAATTCCCAGTTGAAGTCCACCCATCTTAAAGTTCAATGGCATGATAGCGAAGGAATTCTGGGAGTTGAAGTCCACCCATCTTGAAGTTCAATAGCTTACTGGCTGGGGAATTCTGGGAGTTGAAGTCCAGAAGTTGTAAAATCACCAAGGTTGGTCAGCCCTGCTTTAGGAGCCAATGGTCAGAGCTCCTTTGTCCTCCTGCTCACCACGATTGTGGTTCGCTTCATAACTATGGCCAAAATGCTCATAAATTCCGGCCATATGTTGAGGACTACCTCTATCCTGACTTTGTCTTCTTCAAAGGTTGTGTACAATGCCCTTAAAAACATATTTCCTCGATTTTGGAAATGGCGGGGCAGCCTTAAATTTATCGGCCCGTGGACATCCCGGCTGGGGAATTGTGGGAGTTGAAGTCCACGCATCTGAGGATGGAGAAGACTTTGATCAGACACATGCGGGAGAGTTCCCTCTTTTGTTTTTTTTAACTGGATTTTTTCCTTGCGTGTTGCTTTTCCCTTCAGGCTCCGGAGGTGGAGAAACTGGAAGAGATTGAGCGGGAGTTGAAGTGGGCTGCTGACAAGCTAGAAGAACTGAAGAAGGGTTAAATCCTGCTGCTGCCTCAGGAGCTGGGGAGGGGTAGGAGAAATCCCAGCTATCAAGTCGCCTTCTATCAGCCCCCCCTTCCTCCTTTCTCTCTGACCCTTGTATTCAGCTTGGCTTTAGACTGTTAAACTAAGTTTTCCCTTGCTTACAATGATCGTCAAGAAGAGAATATTTGTAGCTCAGGGTTACTGAACGGTGGAATCCCGGGCCTTCTCTGAGCTCGGTGGTTTTCTTGCAGACATTTCGTGACCCAACTAGGGAACATCGTCAGTGCTAGAAGGGAGTAGGGTATGTGGAGAGGAAGAGGACGTTTGCAGACGTTTCATTACCCAGCTAGGTAACATCTTCAGTACTAGAAGGGAATGGGGTTTGCTCTCTTTGTATTCAAGTGGTTTGCCCTGTCAGTGTTGGTGGTTTCTTGTGAGATCCTTGGCGCTCTTTGAGCTTGGGGGTTTTCTTGCAGATGTTTCAGGACCCATCTAGGTAACGTCAACAGTGCAGAAGGGAGGAGGTGTTTGCTCTCTTGATATTTCCTTGATAAGCTTAAAGGAATTTGGTGGGAGGAACTACCAACTCAGACAATTAACTAGTCTAACCAAAGAATGACCTAAGACACTCCCAAGACCGAGAAGACAAGCCACTTGTATATAAACAGATAGCAAACACCATTCCCTTCTAGAACTGATGACACTATCTAGTTGGGTCATAAAATGTCTGTAAGAAAACCACTCAGAAAGCGCCAAGGAATGCAGTCGTCGTCCTCTCCACACCCCCCACTCCCTTTTTGCACTGATGTTACCTAGTTGGGTCATAAGAAAGCAAGAAAGCATCAGAGAGCATCAAGGACCCCAACAAATATCCACCTGACTCACATTTTGTCACAAAACAGGGAGTCCCTTACTTCCCAGATAAAGAACTCAATCTGGCTACAGAAGACTGTTTTCCCACTGACCAGCGTCCTCAGATCTCCGCTTGCTACTGCCGGGATAGCTTTGATCGCCTCCTAAAAGCTTAGTGCTACACATGTATTTTATTATGTATTTTCGATTACAAAGTCTTTAAATGGCTGGGGGACAAGTTCGCATTACTACAACTTTTCTACGCCGCAATTCCAGGGATGGTCAAATGGGAACAAGGCTCTCTTTTCTGCGTTGCGTATTAAGATTTAAAAAAAAAAAATTGGTTTAATCAGTGGTTTTTCACTTTTAGCAACTTGAAGATGGGTGGGATTTCGACTCCCAGAATTCCCCAGCCAGCATGAACTGAAGTCCACCCATTTTCAAGTTGCCACGGGTAGAAAAAAAGCAAAAAATCTGGGTTAAATAAACAGGGGCTCCCATAATCTTAAATTTCCACTCGGAATAGGGGTGACTTGTGGCACCTCAGTATTTTGCTGTCGTTAAAGCTTGCCTTTTTCCTAACAACTGCTGCAGTCATTCTGCTGCACCGTTGCGTCAAAATGTATTTTGGATCTGCACACATTGCAAATAAAAACAATTGCCTAAGACGATGCCTGTGTGTGTCTTTGTGTCCTCCAAGACAGCTGTTCCGTTGTGGTCCAGCATCTGCTGCTCTCTCCATCTTATTTTGAAGGACAGAGTTGCTTTTGGCTTCTGCCTTTACGCACACGTTAAGAGGGATGTGTCCCTGCCTCCAGTTAGAAGAGCTGGTTTGGTCTAGTGGTGAAGGCGCCAGGTTAGAAAGTGAGAGACAGGGAGTTCTAGTTCTGCACAAAAGCTGGCTTGGTGACTTTGGGCCAATTGTCAGGAGACTGGGAGTTCGAGTCCCACCTTAGGCATGAAAGCCGGCTGGGTGACTTTAGGCGAATCATCAGATGGTGAGTTCTAGTCCTGCCTTGGGCATGAAAAAAGGCTAGGTGACTTTGGGCCAATCACCAGGAGATGGTGACTTCTAGTCCCGCCTTAGGCACGAAAGCCAACTGGGTGCCTTTGGACCGCTCACTGTCTCTCAGCCCAACCCACCTCACAGGGTTGTTGTGAATAAAATAAGAGGAAGGTGTGTTGATATGCTTGCTGTCTTATTTGTACAAATAATAAAGATGGGAGAAATAAATAAGCAAGTAAAACGCAAATGCAGCTCAGCTATCGAAAATCTGGCAATCCAGTGGCTTTCCCTCCCATAATATCTGCATTGAATGCCAGTTGAACAGGCGGAAATGTACACGGGAAATTTTACATTAGTCTCAAAGGAGGCTGTCATTAAAGAAAAGCTCTGAGACCAACCCAGATTGGCAATTTATTCTGCTTTGGATCTGAAAATAGCAATAGCACTTAAGACTTATATTCTGCTTTACAGCCCCTCTCTAAGCAGTTTACAGAGTCAGCCTCTTGCCCCCAACAATCTGGGTCTTCATTTGACCCACCCTGGAAGGCTGGGTCAACCGGGAGCCTGGTGAGATTCGATCTGCCAAACTACTGGCAGCCGGCAATCAGCAGAAGTAGCCTGCAGTACTGCACTCTAACCACTGCGCCACCGTGGGATGGGGTATGTGTGTTGATTTGTGGGTCCTCCTATCCGACTCTGATGCCACTGAACTTTCAGGCAGGGGTTGCTGGCGCCAGCAGCAATGAAAAGGAAGACAAAAACACACCGCATCCGTAAGGTTTAATCTGTCTGCTCGGGAAGACCTACAGAATACAATCAAGGGAGAGAGAGGCAGGAAGAGAAAAAAAGCAGAGAGAGACCCACCGAACCGAGTCATAAATGCAAATTTAAACAGGTCACAGGAAACCACACTGGAACTTCAAAACACTGAGCCTCCGTGAAAAGGGGGAGAAGAAACTCGGCAAGGCGGAGCAGAGTTCAAAAGCCTGGCAAACGCACAATTCTTTCCTCTTTGCTGCAGACATACAGGGGGTATTTTAAAGAGACACTCCCGGGGGGGTGTTTTGCTCTGGAGACAGCCCCTAGGAGGGGGGGGGGGAACCCCCAGCCCCCCCCCCCCCCGTTGTTGTTACACACCAGTTCCAAGCAGGTTCTGGGTTCAAATTCTGTCTTCTTCCATAGAATCCTAGCTGCTAGACCTACCCTAACCATCTCAAATTTGCACTGATATCTTTTCCTTCGCAGCTATGTCGTCCGCTGTCACCTTTTGGGACAAACGATTTTTAGGGGCTTGTCAGATTCCCAAGGTTTAGAAATAAAGCTGGCATGGGAACAGCAGGCAAGGTTGGCCAAAAGGATTTATTTCCCTTGGAATTTAGAGGCAGTTTTTCAGGACTTGTTTCTAACTGTCCAACAAGGGGTAGTCCGAGCAATAATTATACTGCCCTTCCAGACAAGGCGAATTAAGACCATCCCTTCATCAGGGCGACATAATTACTGCTAGTCCAAAAGGGGTGTAAATTCCACTTTTTTTTACAATCCCAGGATAGGGAAAGACAGACCAAAAGTTGTTCTTCCTAAATTCTGTCTTCCTTTAGGAAGAGATCTACCCCCCTCCAACTAAACAACCTCCAACTGCTATGAGACCCCCCAAAGGTTGTGTTTTGCTAAACCCCGGATAAAAATTGGTCCAAAGATTTAGGATTCCACTCGCCCACAATCTCATCCTGGTTCGGGTGATGGTGAGTTGAAAACCAAGCCACGCAGGGGACAATTTCCCTTGTGCCAAGGACGGACATCTTATTCTTGTCGGAAAGACATTGGCTGAGCCAGGGGGAGGAGTCACACGGGGAACTAGTCTGGAATCTCTACGTAGGCACAAAAGGGCGAAGTCTGACCTCCTTGAATGCTGTTGAACCTTATTTTGTCTGACCCAGGTGCAAACGACCAATCTGAGCAGATTCCTGTATTATAGGCACCAGCAATGAAGTAGCTAATTGAACTCTTCATCTGTGGATCTGGTCATTTGTGCCGGGCAGTTCCCCAACTCTCCAACTGCGAGCGGTGGGAGCCTATCCAAGGTCCCCCGACCCTCCAGCTCTCCAGAACAAGATCCACAGACCCGGACCCACATTAAGAAGGAAGGGAAACCCCGAATCTGACCGTGAGCATTCCAAGGAAAGGTGTATGTGTGTGCGCGCTCCAGAAAGAGATGGAAAAGGTGAGGCCTTTTCACAACTAGGCTCTGCTCAGGACACACGCTAATAACAAAGGAAACCCAAACCTACTGATTCTGAAACGTCAAGGCAGGCAAGAGCGAGACATCAGAGACAAGACATCCATTTCTGAAGCAGGACAAAATAACGGAGGGTACACATCGGAATGGGGCCACTGGGGAAGAGGCCTCTGGGGCCAGGCGAGGCTGCTTCCCCTTTCGTCCCGGCCTTTATAAATAAGTTTTCACGTCTAGCTCACAGTGAAGATGCAATTGCTACAGAGATCATAGCCAGCTACCACCATGGGGTACTTTCAGGGGAGTCCGGCGTATGGCAAAAGGGCTCCTGAGCTCCCTTCTAGTGGCCACAATTGATCACAATGTCGTCGTATTCTTCCTATGGAAAGAAAGAAAAACGGGCCAAAAAAGTTGGATGCCTGCAGGACAAAAGAGCCCGAGGGAGGGGTCAAAGGCAGCATCAGTCTTGAGTCCCTTTGCGCCCACAAGAGACCGAAGTCCAGCCCCACCTTGAATTCTGTTGATTCTCATCTACCAATTTGCTTTGACTGTTAGTAGTTTGGATTCTTGTAGAGAGTGTTAGCATGCTATCATTCCTTCCTTCCTTCCTCTTTTCTTTCTTCTTTCCTCCCTCTCCCTCCATCTGACTCCTTGCTTCCTTCCTTGCCTTAACTCCTTCCTTCCTTTCTCCCATCCTAACTCCTTCCTTCCTTCCTTTCCTCCTTCCCTTCCTCCCATAGAGTACCAAGTGGCCCATCTCACAGTTTACCTCTCTCTTGCGATCGCACTCACCTCGCTGTTACTGTCCACACTTTCCTCAGAATCCCATTCCGGCTCTTCGGAGCCAAATTCCCGTAACAGCTGTGGGATTTTTTGGTCAGGCCGGTGCACAGCGCTGTACATGGGCGTGTAGCCCACATACATGCGTGCCTCTGTGTCAGCTCCTGCACGCAAGAGGTATTCCACTATTTCAGGGCTCTGGGACTCCACCGCCAGGTGGAGGGGACTCCGGCCACAACTTAGCTCCTGCAGAAGGGGGGAGGAGGAGGAGAAAGGTACGGCATCATCACCTGAGCTGGGCACTCTGTATACTAAGCAAAATCAGGGCAGGATTGTTTTGACTTTCTTTCTCACCTGTTCTTCTACCTCTGGATTTTGTCTTATGTCCAGGCCCCTCCCTCATGGCTCCAGGCGGCCCCTCCCAGCCTGACATCCCTTCACCGCGGAACCACTAGATTGCAACATGATCTCCCTGACAGAGACTGGAATTCTCGCATTTGCACAAACTCGCCTTACAAACGGGCTGGGTTTGCACAATCTAAGACTAGTTATAATGGGGTGTTGGCAGTGCTTATGGGTCAGCTGTGGGCAGGACCCAGGCCTCGTTTAGCCTGTGGGGCAGGGCAGGCTGTCATGTTAAACCTGGAATGTGGTTGATGTCACACCAAAAGACAACTGCTTGTTGACGGCTCAGTGGAAGGCGTCATGCGAATCCTGCTTGGATGCTCCAGTTACAAGAAGTGGGAAATATTCAGGCAACGAATTAGTGCCATGCACTCAAAGTGAGTCTCAAGCTCTCATGGTTGAGAAATAGTTTCGAAACAACAATGTAGCAGGAGGAGTGGTAGAAGCTGGGGGCGGCGTTAAAAGAGGAATCAGCCTAGAATCCCAACGCAGGCACTAAGTCCACTTGTGGCTACGTAGGGATTCTAGGCTAATCCCTCTTTTAACACCGCCCCCAGCTTCTGCCAACTTCTTCCCCTTCTCAACTGCCCACCTCCTCACCCAACATCCATGTCAGTGGCCAAAACTGACATGCTTAATAGGGGCAGTCCTCGACTTAAAACTGGTTGCTTAGCGACCGTGGGATTTTTTGGTCAGGCCGGTGCACAGCGCTGTACATGGGCGTGTAGCCCACATACATGCGTGCCTCTGTGTCAGCTCTGTGGCTACGTAGGGATTCTAGGTTAATCCCTCTTTTAACACCGCCCCCAGCTTCTGCCAACTTCTTCCCCTTCTCAACTGCCCACCTCCTCACCCAACATCCATGTCAGTGGCCAAAACTGACATGCTTAATAGGGGCAGTCCTCGACTTACAACTGGTTGCTTAGCGACCGTTCAAAGTTACAACAGACCCCAAGAGATACTTATGACTTGGTCCTCGCATTTTGATGGCCAGCCCACTCCCCAGTATCACATAACCACATTTCAGATGCTGGGCAACTTGGCCTGTGTTTATGGCCATTGGCCACATCCTGCAGCCGCATGACCGTGTTTTATGATGTTTTTGACAAAACCCGGTGTTCACTTCCTGATTATTATTTTTTTTGTAAAAACGCCCCCATAGCAAACAAGGGGTTTGTTTAACGTCCACGGATTCACTTAATGACCATGTTGATTTGCTTAACACCCGTTACAAAATAGGTCGTAAAATCAGGTCAGTCACGTGATCACCTATTTTATAAACATCGTGATTTACGACCCTAATGGGCAGGCTCCATTACAGTCCTAAGGCGAGGATTACCTGTAATTATTTTTTGTACCTGATTGCTCTCCCACCTTTCTATTTGAATTTACAGGTTTTTTTCAACCTAATGATGAGGACGCCGCTTCCTTTAAAATCAAAATGAAATTGATAAAAGATTTTTTTGAGAGTTCATAAGCTTGGAAAACTAACCTGCTTGTTGAGATCGGATCCTGCAGAGATTAAGAGGTTGACCATGTCCAAATCTTTCCGTAGGATGGCCACATGCAGGGGGATGTAACCTGGCGGAGAGACGGCAGGTGTTTTGAGGAAGAAACAAAACCAGCAAAACAAACAATTTTATGAGGCCAACCTGGGCTACAGATTGGAAAAACAACATGTCATTTCCTTTGGCCCACAAACCTTAACCTGCCGCACTGGAATTCAAAAGAAACCCTTCATACAAAATAAATAACATTCGTTCCAATTCGGTTCAGATCCCTGTGCCAGAATTTGAGTAATCTATGCAAATTTGGCAAGGAGGTAAATTTTTAACCACACAGAGCCGTAGAAGCAAACAACTGACTTTGAAAAGGAGAGCAAAAAATCAAATTCTAAGAGGGAGGGGAAAAAAAGGAAGAGACATATATTTTGTTAACCCTAAGACTTCTGGTTGTAACAGACCACAACAGGACATAATTTTATGGGTCATTCACATGGCAAGTTTTTAAAATAAGTCACTGTTCTGGCGTTTTATATTTTGATACGCATTTTACAGGCTGTTTTTGTGAATTTTATGCATTCATGCTGCATTGTGTCACACTGTAGAGGTAGTCCTCGCCTTGCGACCATAATTGAGTGCAAAATTTTCTGTTGCTAAATGAGGCACTCGTTAAGGGAGCTTTGTCCCATTTTACGATCTTTCTTGCCACGGTTATTAAGTGAACCACTGTAAGTTATTAAGTTAGCGACACGGCTGTTAACTGAATCTGGATTCCCCATTGAATTTGATTGTCAGAAGATCGCCAAAGGAGATTATGTGACTCCGGGACATTGTGACCATCATAAATATGAATCATTTGAATTTTTATCATGGGACTACATGGATGCCGTAACGGTCATAAGTGTAAAAAAAAGTCATGTGTCACTTTTTCAATGCCGTTGTTAACTCTGGTCACTAAATGAACTGCTATAAGTCGAGGACAAAATAAACAAACAACAGGACATGAGATTACAAGCCCACCTGCTCAGCAACATACAGCTAAATTTATATTTGTATGAATTTAGAAGGCATGCTGGTAATCTTCTGAACTTCCCCCAGCCATGAGGACTAGAAACTTGTGCTCACAGCTCTCTCTCTCTCCATTTACAAAAGACTTCAAAGAGGGTTCTACCCATTTCATGGACGTCACTTACCATCGTAATTGGTGCAATCCAGTTGGGCCTGGAAACGGTTGCCCTGACCGGGCCTTTGGACGGCAAGTGGTGCCAGAAGCTGTTCGGCGCAATCCTGCCATCCCTCTCGGCATGCCAAGTGCAGGGCCGTGTGGCCTCCTTTCTCTTGGATGCCCAACCCGGCTCCTGCCGACACGAGTTTGCCAACAAAGCTGGACACCCCGAGGATGACGGCGATGTGAAGTGCGGTCTAAAGGAAAAGAGAAGGAAAGGTGAAACTTTTCGCCTGAGAGATTTGATGGTTTTTAAAACTGATTTTGCAGAGCATGGTCCTCGACTTACGACAGGAACTGGAATTTCCATCACTGATGGGAGTCATTCAGAACAGGGAGTCCTCGACATATAACAGTTCATTTAGTGACCGTTCAAAGTTGCAACGGCACTGTAAAAAATGACTCATGACCGTTTTTCATACTTAGCTTTGGTGTTCTCTTAAAACAGGGATATCCAACCTTGGCAACTTGGAAGATTTGTGGACTTCAACTCCCAGAATTCCCCAGCCAGAATTTCTGGGAATTGAAGTCCACAAGTTTTTTTAATTTTATGCTGGCTGGGGAATTCTGGGAATTCCCTTGACTTCTCTTGAAGTCCACAAAGTCTTCAAGTTGCCAAGATTGGACACCCTTGTTGTAAGAGAACACCAAGGCTATTATTTGTTTAGCGAGATTGTTGACACCAGGCCTAAAAGACATCCGATCCACCCAAAATCTCCAAGCCTCATTCTTTTCTTGTCCTCGGCTTTCACCCTTTTAAAATTTAACCAGCGCAAATTCTGTTCTCAGGTCTGTCCCAACAGTCTTCCTATTCTGACTTGTAAATTTTGGGACAGCCAGGACAGCTGGAGCAAAACAAAGTGTCCTGCGGTCTCACCTGGCCAAGGTCGTTCTGAATATCCAAGTAATCTGTTCCATGGGTGTACTGCAGAATAGAATCCAGGAAAGCTTCGTGTTCATGGATCACCGCCAGGTGAAGAGCTCTGGAATGAGAGGAAAGAGCAAACGTGGTTTAAAAAAATGCCAAACTCACGGGTGGGAAAACTTTTCTACGGTATAGTTCTCGACTTACAACCAACGACTGATCAAAGTTACAACGGCACTGAAAAAACCCGACTTAAGGCCCAATTTTCACACCGACCGCTGCAGCATTCCCCCACGGTCACGTGATCAAAACTCAAGACGCTTAGCAACCGATTCGTATTTACGACGATCGCAGTATCCCAATTTCACGTGATTCCCCTTTTGGCGCCCTCCTGACAAGCAAAGCCGACGGGGACGCCGGCTTCTCTTAACCGTTGTGTTACCAACTTTACCATCGCGTGGGGGGAGGTTGTTCCCTTAACAAGCTGTGGCGAGAAAGGTCATAAAAAAGGGGGGGGGAAAGCAAAACTCGCTCAGCAACCCAAATTTGGGGCTCGAAATGGCGGTCGTAAGCCGAGGACTTACCTGTACAGGTAGTTAAAAGTCCTCGAGTTAGCATCGCCATCGAGCCCGGAATTTACGGTTGTTAAGTTGTGCTGGTCCTTAAGCAGGTCATCAGGTGAGGTCCCCCAAATTTCAATTTCACCTGGCTCCCCCCCCTCCCCAGGGACCCCCCCTCCCCTCAGAGCCCTGGGGTACCTACGTGTCTCCATCCTCCGTGACGAAGCCCAGGACGTGGCGCAGCCAAGCCTCGGGGCCCACCTGGCTCTGGAGGTGGACGCCCCCCACCCCTTCCACCAGGTCGCCCACCCCCTCGTCGCCCCCCAGGGCCGAGTCCAGGCGCCCCTCCTCCTCCTCCTGCTGTTTCTGGGGGGCTCTGGGGTCAGAGGTCACTGGGCAGCCCCCAGGGCCCCCCTCAGCGTCTCCAGGGGGCCCCAGGCCTCCATCCTCCCGGAGCTGGACCAGCTGCCCTTCGCTGAGCGAGCCCAGGCCGCTGTCGCACCACTCCTCGCCCCCAGCCTCCAGCTTCTTCGGCTCTCTGGGGCCGCCCTGGCCGGGCTGGGCCTGCACGAAGGCCATGGCTCGGGACGGGCCTACAGAGGAGCCTTCACTACGGGCAGCGGTGCCATCGCGGAGGCCGGGCCCAGAAGCCCCCGGGGGCCGAGGAAACTCAAGCAGCCGGCCCGGCCGAGGATGCCATGAAGGGGAATTTCAGAAGCCTGGGGATTCCCCAGCCGAGCGTCTTATCAGGCGAAGAGAGGCATGCCGGGAGTTGTAGTGACGCTCTTTGCCGTCACTCTCCCGCCCCCTCCCTCTGCGCCTGCGCTTTAGGGAAAAAAAAGGAGGCGCCATTTTTTCCCCCCGCCGAAGTATGATGGGAAGTGGAGTCCTGCGAGTGAGGGCGTTTGAGTAACATTGGGGTCTTTTTTCAACATTCGGTGTTTCCCTTCAGAACTTCGCCTTTTTTACATCACTAATCGTTTATATTCGCTACCGTCTAACCTTTTGGCTTTGGGAAGGCCCTAATTTGGAAAGACGGCTTACACTTCATCGACGTCGAGCCCCCATTGCCGGCGCAAAGCCTGAAGGGAGACGGGTTTATTTGTAATTTCTCTTTCCCCGCCCCCTCGTCTCTAGCGGCGGTTGGGTGAGTCCAAAACGGTCTCTTTACGCCCACCGGTGACGTCAGACGTTGTTTGTTTGGAAGGTGGCCGGCCATTGGCTGTTGTCCCGCGGGGCTTTTCGGGGCTTGTAGTTTTCCTCTCAGCGGGCAACGGTCCGTTTCGATTCTCGGCGGAGCGGCGTCGCGAACTTCCATGGCAAGCCAGGAAGGTAACGGTGCCGCTGAGGGAACCGGTGGGCTGAGAAGGGCCGGGCCTCCCGCCCAGTCTCCCCTTCTTCCTTCTGTTTCCCTTGTCACAGGCGCTGCCGCCAGTCCCGAAAAGGGCGCCGAAAAGGCCTCGAAGTCCTCGGTGAGGATTTAGGGGGCGAAATTGGGGGGCGTCGCTCCAAATCCCTCCCCCCTTGGGGCCTTCTCTCTAGGCGGCTCTGCCCCCACAGAGGGAAGGGGGCGCCTGGAGCTTCTTGAGGAAAGTGGCTCGAGTCCCAAAATAAGGACTCTTTAAAAGTCATTTCGGGGTGGGGGTGGGAGTGGGAGGTGGACTTCCAAGCCCATCATCCCCGGCTCAGTTGAATGGGAGTCAGGTGAGGGGGAAAAAATCCTCTGAGGAAACTCCTGCTGCGATGGCAATTTCCTTTTTTTTTTCCTGTTAGGATTTTACAAAATAAAATAAAATATGTAAATAATAATTAATATAGTGACTGGGCGGGGGGCGGCGGGGGGGATCCACCCCTTTAAAATCTGGTATGGTTTGGGTACCTGAGGGTAGACTCTGCCTGATCATGGAGGCACATCAAGAGGAGATGCCAGGGATCCTCCTATCTCCTGATAAAAAGTAGTCCTCCACTTAACGGCCACAAGTGAGCCCCACATTTTTGTTGCTAAGTGAAACATTGGAATGGCATAGGATCTCCTGCTTGAGTTGGGGGGCTGGACTAGAAGACCTTTAAGGCCCCCTCCAGCTCTATTCTGATTCGCTTATTAGGTGAATTTGGCTCCATTTTTACAACCATTTGTGCCACAGTTGTTAAGTGAGGAACATGGTTGTTAAGTGAATCTGGCTTCCCCGTTAATTTTTTCTTGGAACAATGTCCTAAAAGGGGATCATGTGATCTTGGAACACTACAACCGTCATAAATATGAGGCAGGTGCCAAACGTCCAAATTTTGATCCCATGACCATAAGGATGCTGCAACGGTCGTAAGTGTGAGAAACCGTCGTAAGTCACTTTTCTCAGTGCTGTTGTAACTTTGAACGGTCACTGAGTGAATGGTTGTAAGTCCAGTCCTCAAAATTTATGATGTACACAAACATGCCACCCTTACCTGTCCATTTGAACTTATGACACTGGAAAAAGTGACTTAAAACGAGTCCTCTCTTTTACGACCATCACAGCATCTCCACAGTCATGTGATCAAAAATTTGACAAGCAAGAGTCAATGGGGAAAGCCGGATTTGCTTAACAATCATGTGATTCGCTTAACGACTGCAATGATTTGCTTGATGACTGCAGCAAAAGAGGTCATAAAATTGCGTCTTCGGAGAAGGGCGGCATATAAATCAAATTAAAAAAAAAAAATCAAGCATGCCTCATTTAACAACCATCTTGCTTAGCGATGGAAGTTCTGGTCCCAATTGTGGTCATACATCGAAGACTACATATAGTAGTCAATAATGCATAAATTATACAGACACAAATAAGTCAGAAATACATAACACTTTTATCAATTGTGCAGCTCATCAAGCCTAATTTAAACTATTGCACATATTACAGACAAATGACAAAATTTGGCCACACTTGAGGAGAGAGTCACATAAGATTGATGATTGTAAATAACACTGATCAGAATGAATTGGATTTAATGTGGAATAGACAGTATAAAGCAGTGTTTCTCAACCTGTGCATCTTGAAAATGTGTGGACATCAACACCCAGAACTCCCCAGCCAGCAGAATTCTGGGAGTTGAAGTCCACACATCTTCAAACTGCCCAGGTTGAGAAACATTGTTATAAAAAGATATCTCTTGCAGTTTCAGAGGCTCATTCACCCCTGGGCATAGTTTAGATTCAAATGGAATGCCCTTATATCTCTTCTCCAAAAATGTTGATGGGAGAACATTGATCCATGCTGGTGCTAGGCTGTAGCTAGAGCCTTTCTGAGTTTGAGGCCAGAAAGCACCTGCACCTGTGGGAAAAGTTCAGGAGCCACTTAAATATATATTTTTAGGAAAGGATAGATGGGACTTGGGACGTTCTGGAATTTCGCAGTACTTTTTTGGGGGGGGTGGGAGTGGAGTGCTTAACAGGCATTAACCCTGCTCAGTTTGAGCCCAGGCAAGATTGGCCAGATTTAATATTCACTTAATAAATTCAGAAATGACATCCCTACTTCCTTTCTTCCTGTAGAGCTCGGATTCTGATGAGGAAGGGGGAGCTTCTGGCCAAACAGAAAGTAAGTAACTATCCAATGGGAGTTCATGTTTTCCTTTAAATATTGTGGATATATAAATTGAGGCTATCCCGATATCTCCAAACTATTACTGTCTTCCTATAGCTAATGAAATATTATTTCTAGACATAGAAACCCCTGAATTGTGAAACCCAGGATAAGAACTTCAATGTTTGCTGTACACAGTAGCTATGTAATAAAGCATTATAATTACATTCTTTGGCCTGGAATAAGTCTTAATCCATCGAGTAAAGACACTTGACTTTTGTCTCTGGGCAACGGTTATAGACATGTCCATTTATTAGTGAGCTTGTAGTTTGTGTCAGCTGCCTCAGGACAAGATGAGCAAATGTCCAGTGGAGCACATAAATCAGGGCTTATTTGTCAAAAATAAGAATAGAATAGGGGAAGTGAGTTCCTAAAACAACAATGCACCTTTTCTTTCAGAGTTATGCTTCTCTAAAACAAGGAGGGAAACCTTGTTTTCTAACAAATGAGGCCAAACAAACTAGAGAAACTTCAAACTAGATTCCCCATGGCTTGACTGGGGAATTCTGGGAGTTGAAGTCCATCCGATTAAAAGCTACCAAGATTGAGAAACACTGTTTGAAGACATTAGCATTTTTATATATATAAAGCGTAGAAAAGCTCGCATTTGAGCTGCAGGTAGATTTTCCTTCAAGTAAGAGTTTAGCACAATATACAGAGATCTCATGGGGTCCCTGGTGCTTTTTGAGTTTGGCTATTTTCCGGCAGACATTTTATGACTCAACTAGGTAACATTATCAATGCTAGAAGGGAGTAGGGTTTGCAGAGAGGAGGAGGACTGGGTGGTCCTTGGTGCTCTCTGAGCTTGGTGGTTTCCTTGCAGAAGTTTCATTATCCCTCTAGGTAATTTCATTTGTGCCCTGATGATCTCTTCTATCGGCACAGATCTCAGCTCTTCAAGGCACATGATAATATTGCGATTTTTTTTCTTTCTTAACAGTGGAATTTTTGCGAAACCTCTTTTCCCGGACTCTGGGCTTCGGCAGTGAGAAGCCTGAGAAGGTGCTGGAGGAACTGACGCTGGAAGGCGTGACCAATTTCATGCTCACTGAGAAATGTAAACCAGTTCTTTCTAGAGACTGAAACATTTTGCTCTTTTCTTTTTTCTAACAGCCTCTGAAGTGGATGAAAAAGGAGCGGGGGCCGGGGAGAGAGCTTGTGATGCAGGTGGTGGTGTAGATCAAAGAGAGGAGGGAGGTTTGGCACCTCTGTGTGCTGTAGTTAAATGCCGTTATCAGTATATCTCTGCATGGTTACCTGTGGTCATTGATACTTTTACCGATAGGGACTGCTGTTGACAAAGGTTATTTGCCCAGGGCGACCCAAAGGTCAAGAAGCTCTTAGCAGAATAACGAATCCCAGCTTCTGAAATTCTGTGGCTTCTCAGTTGCCGAGGCTCCAGTGGTTGGATGCCTATGCCAAGCAGTTGATGCCGTTCAGGGTATGAGGGTGGCATGGTGTAATTCAGGGCTTGATATTGAAAGGCAATTTACTGCCCTTTCTCTTGCAGGCAAGAATATAATCTGTATGGTCGGTGCAGGAATCTCAACTAGTAAGTGTCACGATGGCTTTGCTGATCATGTTTCTTTCTTTCTTTCTTGTTTGTTTGTTTGTTAGTTTTGTGCAAATGTAGGAGCAGAATGTGATGCTGGTTGATAAAATTAGAAACTGCCTTTACATAGTTAGGGGTCAGAAGGAGTTTTTTTCCTACTCAGTCTAATAAAGTGTGGTCTTATCCTGCCACAGAGATTTATTTTTTTTAATTAGGAAACACTTTTTCTGGGAAAGTAGAGAAAAAATGTTCACGAGAAGCACCCTGCTGAATCAAACTAATTTCTTCCCCTTTGTTCTAAGCTGGGCTTGAAATAATGGAGCTGGGAACCTCAAGTATAGTATCTGCTTCTTAGCTCAAACTGTATTGGTGCTCTCTGTAGCATCAGAATATATAAGCCCCTATCCTTAGTTAGTTTTCTATTCAGCTGCTTCCAGCTATCCGTTCGGTCTCAGCGTTTGCCTTTCTGCCTCTCAGGTGCGGGGATCCCCGATTTCCGCTCACCTGGCACGGGGCTATATGCCAATCTGCAGCAATACAATCTACCATACCCTGAAGCCATCTTTGAGATTGGCTACTTCAAGGTACCAGGCTGAGTTACCCACTTACTCTTTACGTGGGCTGAATACGGTGCTCTCTTGTGCTTTGTTTTCTTTGGCATAACTGATTCGATGTCTGTTTTCATTTAGAAAAACCCAGATCCATTCTTCACCTTGGCTCGGGAGCTCTACCCAGGGCAGTTCAAGGTCAGCTGGCTTTTCATGTTTCCTAGGCGGTGGGCAGGGATTTAAACTCAATCCTAAAAGTGCAGTGGTCTTCTTGTCACCCAGGAGAAGAAACGGCTGCTTCAAAGAGTTCTTAACAAGTGCCCTCCCTGCCCCCTTCGCTTTCTTGAGAAGCCCATCTCTGTTTTGGTCTGCTTCTAGTTTAGAGAGGTGCTCAAAATCAGGTCTCTTTAAGAGGTTTTAAGCATAGCTGGCTGGAGAATTCTGGGAGTTGAAGTCCACAAGTCCTAAAGCTGCCAAGTTTGAAGACCTCTGGGCTAAGGCTTTAGAGTAGAACCAGAGCTACATCCTCTGAGTTTCCTTAACAATTTTTAGTGCTTGGGAAGAGGGGCATTTCTTTATCATACTGGTTGTAAAGTATTCCATCACCAAACTCTATACAATTCCCATACAATAAAACACACACCTGCAGAACTGCATTCTTCACCTAGAATTAACCAGACTGACTTGATTCTCCCCCAAGAGACTACTACCAGTGCCCCTCCTGTGCTCATCCATGAATTGGGATGAGGTACAACATTTCATGAGTAAGGCCTGCTTTTTTGAACAGCCACTCTGTTGAAATCAAGGTGCCCTTCTCCGGTTTTGTTCCAAAAGATGCCAAACACCAAGTTCTTTTGTTGATTGCTCAATGTCATCCCCAGGATTTAATGAGCCGAAGCTGATGTTTTTTCTGCTGTCGTCAGTTGATTATGCATTAATTTACTGGGGTTTATTGTTTCATTTAATCGCCGTGGATGTTTTATTGTTAATTTACAATGGATGTTTTAATGTGATGAATGTTGTTAACTGCCAAAGTGTCGGAATGAATGAATAAACATGTAAATAAAAACTACCCCTTTGGTTTCCTTTGTGAAAAGAAAATATGACATTTAAGGCTCTGGTCCTTTTCAGCCCACAGTCTGTCACTACTTCATTCGCCTTTTGAAGGATAAAGGGCTGCTGCTACGCTGCTACACTCAGGTAAATAAATCCTTTTCCCTTTGGGTCTCTTTCTGATCTTTGGGGCTGGCGCTTTAAAACAATGAAAGTTTTGGTTATATTATTCTGGCCTCCTAAGGGCCATTAGAATTTTTTCTTTGAAATGGTGCATTGTAGCAAGTGAATTTTGAATGAGTCTTCTTGACTGTGAGCCAGTAAAATGATTTAATATGTGGGTACAATAATAAGTTATTGTCACCACATGCAAAGGATTTTTTAAATATTGAATTCACATTTGGTGCTCGAAAGTTAATACGCTGGCATTAGATAAAATAACAGGAGTGTCCTAGTCAGATTTAGTTCCAGGATTGACAGCTATTTCAGGTTAGAGTGGTACAGGTGGAGCTTTTGCCTCACAGTCAGGAGGCTGTGAGTTTGATCCTAGGTAGAGGCAGCTATTTTTCTCTCTGGGCACCCCGAGAATATATCTGCTGAACAAAACTCCGCATTGGCGACAGGAAGGGCATCCAGCCAGTAAACACTTAGCTCCGTTCAGTTGCCCAGACTCCACCCCGCAAGGGATTATGGGTTCATTAAAAGGAGATGATGATTGATGGCCACTTCAGGTTGGATTTATTTGGAGCCTCTTGCCTTCCTCCAGAACATTGACACCTTGGAACGGGTGGCCGGTCTGGATGCTGAACACTTAGTGGAAGCTCATGGCACCTTTTATACCTCCCATTGCATCAGCTCCGCTTGCAGGAAGTCCTACAGCCTGGAGTGGATGAAAGGTGAGGGTCAGGCATTGGAAGCAGGGAAGACATTATCGAGGGCCTTCCGGAAGGGATCGAAGGGGTAAAGAAAATTTTTAAAAATCCTTTGGAATAAACTGGATTATTCCCGCTGCATGATCTTGATAAGCAGTGCTTGTTTCTGAGATGTGTGAATGCTGCTGAGGGGAGAAAGCCACCACTTGTGGGATTGAGCCGCAGTGGCGCAGTGGGTAGAGTGCAGTACTGCAGGCTACTTCTGCTGACTGCTGGCTGCCTGCAATTTGGCAGTTCAAATCTCAGCAGGCTCAAGGTTGACTCAGCCTTCTGCCCTTCCGAGGTCGGTAAAATGAGGACATGGATTGTTGGGGGCAAGAGGCTGACTCTGTAAACTGCTTAGAGAGGGCTGTAAAGCACTGTGAAGCAGTATATAAGTCTAAATGCTATTGGTATTACTATTGCTATTCCAGTGGTACACTTTGGATTGGCTAGTATGGCTATGGGTGCAAGACAGAGATTAAAAGACTGATTAGAATTAAGGGTTGTAGGGTTTTTAAAAAAAAATATAAAATTGGCCACCCATTTAACCATAGGGTAACTCTGGGCAGCTTACAGTTACAGCTTAATTAAAACATAAAATGTGAAAATCAAACCTTGCAACCAAAGACACATGGGGAGGGTGGGGAGGGGGGTTCTGTTATTATTCAATCAACTACCTCCATTGCGCTGATCCCCCATTGGAGCCCCAAGCCGACTGGCACAGCCACATCTTTAGGCCCTTCTGAAAAGATAGGAGGGTTGGGGCCAACCCCACATGGGGAGGAGGGCAGGTGCAACTGCAGAGAAGGCCCTCCTCCTGGACCCTCCAGCTGGGATACTGGAGCTGAGGGGACCTGCAGCCTGCCTCCTTTGCTGGCATGGGTGGTACAGGCCAATCCCAGTGGGGTGAGACTGTCCCTTAAGGAACCTGGACCACTGCCATTTATGCCAAATCATGAGTTGGCTGCAAACGGAATTGGCTCAGGTGCATTGCTCTTGTTTTTCTTTTTTCAGAAAAAATATTTGCATCTCTCACCCCCAGGTGTGAAAAATGTCAAAGCGTAGTGAAGCCAGGTGAGCATCCCCATCCAGTCATTCATCAAAGCAACATCCTGGGATCTTGGTGCTTATCGATCAGGTTTCAGGGAACCCTAACCCGAGGTTCTGCTTTCTTTCCCTTTGTTCAGACATCGTGTTTTTTGGGGAGAATCTGCCCCCTCGTTTCTTCTCTCTCATGCAGTCGGTAAGTGCTTCAGTCGTTTGTCCTTGGACTGGGAACACTGGCAGCCCCACGTTGGAGGTCTCCCAAGAGCCAGGATTTCTGAGTCCTCATTCTAGGAGTTAAAATTTCTCCAGACAAAATGACGTTATTTAGTCATGTATGCTAATTTTTCAGATGTGACCCATAATTGGTTAGGATGAATGGAATCTGGTGAATGAAAATATAGCAGAAAAGGAGCTGTGTTTTAGGCTGAAAATAGAGATAAAGGATGTTAAAAAAAAGAGAGAGAGAGAGCAGCATTCAGCTTCCATGGAGTTACATCTTTCTTCCAGGTGTTTTTTTGGAACAAAACATTGGGCAAACATTGGCTGGATCTTGCACTATAAACAGATTAGCAAGTTAACCTTCAATTTTATAGTCAGAAGCCCCTCCGCACGCAGTATGTGCTCATTTAAAATCCTGTACAGGTAGTCCTCTACTTACAACAGTTCGCTTAGTGACCATTCAAAGTTATAACGGCACTGAAAAAAATCACATGGTCATTTTCCACACTTATGACCGTTGCAGGATCCCCATGGTCAAGTGATTTACATTTGGATGCTTGATAACTGACTCATATTTATGACGGTCACAGTGTCCCAGGATCACACAATCCCCTTTTGCAACCTTCTGACTAGCAAACTCAACAGGGAAGCCAGATTCGCTTAACAACCGTGTTACTAATTTAACAGCTGCAGTAATTCACTTAACAAATGTGACAAGAAAAGTCATAAAACAGGGCAAAACTCACTTAACAAATTTCTCCCTTAGCCACCTAAATTTTGGGCTGAATTCTGGTCGTAAATCGAGGACTACCTCTATCTGCACACTGCAGGAACCTAGAGCTTTCCTCTCTGTTGAATAAGCCTTACAGCCTGGAGCCTTAACCCTAAACTCTTCTGTGGTCTGTCATGATCATAACATGAGACAGCAAAATCTACATCTGAATAAATGGAAGGTCATCGGAACCTATCCAGATAGCACTATTTCAGAGACGAGAGTGTTTAAAACCAGGTTAGAAACTGGGACGCAGTTCTTTGGGTGCCCTCCATCCTTCACGCTAACCCTCTGCTTGCAGGATTTCCAGAATGCGGACATGCTTATTATCATGGGCACCTCCCTTCAGGTCCAGCCTTTCGCCTCTCTGGTCAGCAGGTCAGTGAACCTGGGCTGCGTACGGGAGGGCTTGCTTTTCTTTTCTCTTTTTTCCCCCAAACATTGTTTTAATTAAGTATTATAAAGTATTATAAAATACAAAAGTAAATAAAAGAGCAGTGGGGAGGGAGGGGAAAGAGAAGTGAGGCAAAGTAAATAAATAAATAATAAAATAAAAAGTAGGGAAAAGAAGCATCGACTTCCGACTCTCTCTGCTGCAATAAAATAAGGCATTAGCATCAAATCATAGCTTTTTGTTTTTCCATAATAACATGAACAAGTCATTTCTATAAAGATCTATCCAGCTAATCTATAAAACCCAAAGTCAAAATTACATTCTTTCCCACACCAAGCCCAAAATTCAGAAGCAGTTTCCATGTGGAAACCAAAGCACTCAATGTTCTTTTCTTGAAAAGAGGAGTCAGTTTTGCCATTTCAGTCAACTCCATCAGCTTCTGCAACCAAGGGCTGGCTTTCCTCTGAACCAAGACGCCGCAGGCACCGTTGCTAAATGGTTCCTCCTCTCTGTTTCTTCCAGGGTACCCACAAACACCCCACGTCTTCTGATCAATAAGGAGAAGACAGGAGAGGTGAGCTTTCTTTGGCCTGCCGCAGAGTGGGAGCTCCTGGGAATTGAGCCAGGGTGTGGCAGCTATGGCAGTTATACGAGCGGTGGACTTCAACTCCCAGAATTCCTGAGCTGGCCTGCTTCTTCTTGTACTTCTGCTAATCAGGAAGGCATCGGCTTGAGTTGCTTCTGAATGCTATCTTGTTGCTCTGGCCTTTTTTTTAAAAAAAATGCTTTTCAGCCTAGGCAACATCGCCTGGGTATCCCCGTCCAGGTCATCTTCCCTCCTCTCTACCATAAAATTATGGCAATTTTATGACCTGTGGAATTCAACTTCCAGAATTCTCGAGCCAGCTTGTATAATGATAGTTCTCTGCTGATCCTCCATCTTAAAATTGTCACCATCTTGGAGCCCTCCAAGAGAATGTTCTTAGCATTTTTGATCTCGTTTCAGAGTGATCCTTTCATGTCCCTGATGGGCTTAGGCTGCGGGATGGATTTTGATTCAGAGAAGGCATACAGGCAAGTTCACCTCGGGGTGCAGGATTGTGGCAGGGTGGATGCTGAGAACCTAAGGGTTGACTCATGGGAGATGGGGTGTTGTTCAGGGCTTTGGTGCCAAACAAAAGTCTTAGGTAAGGGACTTCACTGAGGAGTTAAATAAAATAATGTTTAAGCCAATAACTTCTGTGTGTTTCTCTTGATTCTGACATGCTCAGTTCCCTTGGTGTATCTAACGCAGCTTTGTGGTCCCTATGCTGAGTTCCCCTGGTGGCTTCAGGGAGGCCACTCTTGGTCTTGTCTATGGAGATTCTCAGTCATCCAAGACATGTCCCAAAGATGCTTTTTTTTCAAGAGGCAACTGGACTTTTTGGTTTTTCTTTGAAAGACGTTTCGCTTCTCATCCAAGAAGATCCTTTAGCTCTTGAAAAAAAGCACCTTTGGGACACTCTTGGTCTTCATAGCCCAGGTGTGTTAGGAAGATGATCCTGCTAGGGAGATCCACCTGATCTCAAAGTATTTGTAAAGATTGCTGGGAAAAAAGATGCATCCGTCTTGGAATGCTTTGTCAGCTCTATAGAAATACTAATAAATTGGAATTCCGTTATTCACCGTTATTCACTTAATTTTTCAGGGACGTCGCGTGGCTGGGAGACTGCGATGAGGGCTGCCTGGCTTTGGCAGAGCTGTTGGGATGGAAGGTATCTCCCCCGTTTGAAAATCACTTGAGAACAGCCCAGATGTGAAAATGAATGGGGCTCTCTTTAGCTCCCTCCGGGGTCTTATTGGGGAGGGGGTGGCTTGCCAACTCTGAGCAAATTAAGTTTCTGTTTATTTCTTGGTTATCTTCCTTACGCGATTTTCTCTTTTCTAACCCCCCACCCCCTTAGAAAGAGCTGGAGGAACTGGTGGAAAAGGAGCACGCTCTCATTGAGGCCCAATCTGGACAGGCTGTGGGTGTCGGGGCAGGCGCTGGTTGGCAACCAGCCAAGAAGCAAGAGCAGAATCCGTCTTTGGAGAACGAAAAGCCAGCTGCAAAGAAAGAAGAATGAAGAGATTAGAGAAGACTGAGGAACCCTACTTTTCTGATTATTAAAAAACCCACCTCGATGTGAACGGGGGATGCTTGGGGCCTTCTGTCTTCATTTCCTTAAGGCGAGCTGACGAGGTGTCCGTCTTTAGCGGTGGAAATTCCCTACATAATTTTGGGCGGGTCCCTGTCATCCCAAACGGCTGTTGGGAGGATAAGTGGAAGGAAGATTCTTCTGTGAGTCTGTTTGCGCTGCTGGAGAAAAGGCAGGATATAATTCTAACTAAGCAAAGGGACTTAGCCGTCTGGCATCAAAGATTTTGGCGGAGGTCATAGAGTTCAGGGCAAAGGTGGAATCCAAAATAGGTCTCACCCCATGAAGTCATCTCGGGGGACTTTGGGCCCGATTGGAGCCACTAACAGCTGAAATTATGATTGAATTGGAGTTTTAATTTAGCAGGAGGAGTATTTCGTGGAGATTTCTTTAGAATAGGGATGCCCAACTTGGCAACTTTAAGACTTGTGGACTTCAAGTCCCAGAATTCGCTAGCAGCTTTAAGACCTAAGACCTTTAAGACCTAAGAACTAGCAGGAGTTCTTAGGTCTTAAAGTTGCCAAGATTGGACACACCTCTGCTTTAGAGCCTTGCTCTACTTATTTTAAAATGTTGGGAGGGTGAATTTGATTAATTTCCAGTTAACTTCAGAATTTTGTTCTAATTGCGTTAGAGAAAAAAAAAAGAAAACGAGATGATCTAAACTTCTATCCAGGCTTTTCTTTCTTTCTTTCTTTCTTTCTTTCTTTCTTTCTTTCTTTCTTTCTTTCTTTCTTTCTTTCTTTCTTTCTTTCTCTCTCTCTCTCTCTCTCTCCCTCTCTCTCTCTCTCTCTCTCTCTCTCTCTCCCCCCTCCCTCCCTCCCTCCCTTCTTTCTTTGTTTCCTTGATCTAACCAAATAAGGCACTTTCGGAGAAGCATAGTTTGAAGTGTTTGATTAAACTGTTGATTTATGCAGGGTATCAGTTTTGAACTACCTATGATGCTTTTGTTTCCATCATTTACATAAAGCTGTCATCAGTGACAATTAAATATAATCAGCTTGATACAAGATAATATGTTGTTATTGCTTTCTGCGTTCCTGTGTTTATTTTTAAGAAGACGGTGTAATTACCTGTTTTGTAGTGATCCAGATTAGCAAAACAGGTGGTAATTCAGGGGTTGGAGTGTTGGTGCCCTCTTGTGGACACAAAGTGAAACTGTTGCTTTTACAAAGTTTAATATGGATGCAATCCTTACTGATTCTCTGGTTTCTGTACTGAGAGGCAGCTATTGACTTTCCCCGCAGTTTTCTGGGGGTCGTAGCAGTGGTGAAATTCACTTTTTTAAAACTACTGGTTCTGTGGGTATGATGGGTTCTGTGGGTGTGGCTTGGTGGGCATGGCAGGGAAAGGATACTGCAAAATCTCCACCCTACTCTGGGACCAGCCAGAGGTGGTATTTGCTGGTTCTCCAAACTACTCAAAATTTCCACTACCGGTTCTCCAGAACCTGTCAGAACTTGCTGGATTTCACCCTTGAATCATAGATTACAGAAAAATAGCTTTGGGCACTAGTTGATAGCTCCCTGCCATCTTATTACAAGTTTTTATTTATTGCTACAATTAAAGAAATGTATATATTCTTCAGATAGAGGTACTGGAAAAGTATTTTATGATAAAAGCAACTTTTGAATGGGTCTAGAGTCTAGACTCAAGCTGTTAGCATAAATAAGGGCTTCACATTTAAAGAGCTTAGTTTTATATGCTAGTGTTTACAGGTTATATACTATTTTTTTTAAAAAAAATAATACATGGATTATAAAGGAATTTGCAAAATCATTCACACAGTCCATAGTTAAAAGGCAAAGGTTCCCCTTGCATATATGTGCTAGTCGTTCCCGACTCTAGGGGACTGTGCTCATCTCCGTTTCAAAGCCGAAGAGCCAGCGCTGTCCGAAGACGTCTCCGTGGTCATGTGACCGGCATGACTCAATGCCAAAGGCGCATGGAACGCTGTTACTTTCCCACCAAAGGTGGTCCCTATTTTTCTACTTGCATTTTTGACCTGCTTTCGAACTGCTAGGTTGGCAGAAGCTGGGACAAGTAACGGGAGCTCAGCCCGTTACGCGGCACTTGGGATTTGAACTGCTGAACTGCTGACCTTTCGATTGATAAGCTCAGCGTCTTAGCCACTGAGCCACTGTCCGAGTCCATAGTTAGGCAAAACCTTTTCTTAGTTCAACTGACCTGCTCCTAAAAGGTATGCAACTTTCTAAGATCTCTAGGAATAGTCAGGTTAAACATGAGAAAAAAAAATAAAACAGGAAATTGCTTTTTAAAGCACTTTTCACTTTGGAAGCCTAGCCAATTTCTTGAGCTTTTGTGCTAATAGCCTTGTGCTATTAATATCTTTGACCAAGTCAGTGTTTCTTTCAGATGTGTAGACTTTAGTTCCCAGAATTCCCCAGGCAGCAGCCCCACACAAAGTTGCTGAGACTGGCTTAAGACTGCTCTTAAATTCATCTACCTGCCTGAGCCTCCTTAACAGCTCCATCAGCCATCTCAGTTTTACCTTTGGTGTCTGTCCCGATTAATCTTCCCTCTTGCCTTCTAGCTTCACACAGGAGGTTTTCTTCCAGAATTCTCTCTCTCTTGGTGCATCAACGGACCTATTGATCCGCGACTGAAGGTTATGGATGATTCCTTTGGAAGGCTTTGGGGAAAAAAATCTTAAATTCAAGAAGGGGAAGGCTCTTGACATGTACTAAGCATAATGGCACTGTATCACCTCTAGTACCAGAGGCCATTGCTGAGAAGTGTAAGTGGTTGTGTTCATTCGTGAGCCGGTTGGCCACCATAGAGCAAGTGGATTAAATGAGGTTGGTTTTTTTCTGATCCAGCATATCTACTCTTAAATGCTTTTCTAACAAAGGCTTCTCCGCCCAACTTTTATTTTCTCTAGCTGCCTTTCTTTGAAGTGAATGGAGGAGGCCCCAGGACCACGTGAAGGCAGTCGGCGGAGGTGTCAAACCACATCCCTGCCTTTGTCTCCTGAAACTGTCGGTCCTGTCCTAGTGCGTCGGTCCTGCCTTTCTTCACTCACCTTTTGCTGATCCAAGGGTGGCAGCTAGGCCCAGAGATTTCACAGCTGGCGGTTTCACCTTTGTGCATGCCAATCGCAAGGTAAGATCTTCTAACTGTTGATGGGATCTGGTAAACACGGGGACCTTTGGAGCAGAACTGCAGGTTTCATTTCTGAACAGGAAGGTTAAGGCAAGGTTTGAGGAGAAAAGATTTACCTATCCCTACAAGCCTCAGGGAGGTTAACCAAAATCTCTTCACCTATTTCTGGGGAATGAAGGCTGGAATTATTGGGGGGTTCTTGGTGATCTCTGAGCTTGCCTGTTCGCAATATATTCAAGATATTCAAACGCATCTGGAACTTTGCGTATGTGTGTGGCAGGAAGGTCAGAAATGTTCGTTGGCACGACGGTAAGGATGCATTCAGTGTTTTGCCGAGCGCTGGTTTTTTTTTCAAGCAGGATGTTTGTCTTCCTTTCAGAGCTAAGCATTGACTCTGTCCGCCATTTTGCCCGCTGATAGGGGCACGTGGGCTCGGGTCTCCCTTGCAGGTGGCTCTGGTGTGAGCTCTACTAGGGCAGGGATTGAAAAGGAAGTGGCCCTTTGGAAGGGGAAACTTTCTTCTGAAGTACCTTCCCTGGACACGGGACATTTTTAATTTAGCTGTAGGTATGTTAAGTATGATTACTTCTCCGAACGGTGGGAACTTTCAAGAGTGTTGAGCTTATGGGGTTAATTCCCTATGGAAGGAGGCCAGGGGGCGTCTATTAATGTACATGGTTAATATTTATTGACAAATACATTGGTGGTTTCAAACAGGATTAAAGTTCCTTGGTCCTCTCTGAACTTGGTTGTTTTCATTTCATTACCAAACTAGTAATGAGGTTGCCTCATTTGGATCATGAAACATCTGCAAGAAAACAACTAAGCTCAGAGAGTACCAAGGACGTCACAGTCCTCCTCCTCCTCCTCCTCCTCCTCCCCCCCTCCTCCCTGCGTTGGGTAATGAAACATCTACAAGCTCAGAGAGCACCAAGGACCTCTCATTTCAATCCTGAGCTACAAATATTCTTGTTTATTGATCAGTAGAATTCTTCAGTCACACCTGACGGACTTGGGGAGAGCTTGCTCCTTTCCCTGAGGGTAGCAGGTTTTACTGAATCCCACAATAGCAAATTATTTATTTAGTTGTCCTGTGCATATAGCTGCCCATCTCACAAATAAGTCACCCCTTCCTCAAGACACTGTTTAGTTTACCTGGGTCACGGACACATCTTTTCCTCCTGCTATTGTTTCTCTACCCGTGAACCCCTGGGGCTCAGATTCATCTGCCTGACATCTTTCGTTTCTCCAGGAGAACGTTCGGAGACCACCCCTCCAAAGAAAAAACCGTTTGGAAAGTTTGATCAGGAAAAGAGGGCTTGGGGATTAACTGGAGTCTCGTGGGAATGAACAATGACGGAGATCATGGTTGATGCCAACAAGGAGCACAAGGGACCAGGGTCTCGGTAAGGAGAGGGTCTGCGTGTCTGGGTCAAGAAAGAGGAATGCCTGTTTGCCCAGTTGGTTATGTGAAGAGCGTGTAATCCAAACCTCCACAAATTTTAAGATGTGTGGATTTCAACTCCCAGAATTCCTAGAAGGAGATAAGTGGGAATGCTGGGAGTTGAAGTCCATACAATGCCAAAATTTAATTAATTTATTTAATTGAGCCAAACTATGTTATAATAATAATTTTAATTAGCAATTTTATGATGTTTGTGTATCTATATTTTTCTTGACTGTACACCGCCTTGAGTCCTACGGGAGAAAGGTGGTATAGAAATATAATAAATAAATAATAAATAAATAAATAAATAAATAAATAAATAAATAAATGAATAAAATTGGGAAACATGGCAGGACATCCAAGGAGATTCTTGTGTCACTTCTAAACCTACCATGTTCGATCTTGTGTAGTGCCTGGCTGATTGGGAGAGTCCCTTGGGAGTTGGGTGGCATAGAAATGCGACAAAATAAAATAAATAAATAAACAGCTGCTGTGATCTCAGTGCAGGAGTAAATTTTGATTGAACTCTCGTGGGGTTACCACCCATTGACAGTTAGGCAGTTCTGCCGACAGCTTCTTTTAAGCCATTTGTCTATCCCAGGAAAACGCCAGATCGCATATTGGGTTGACTTCCTTTGCTGCATGGAATTTATTCATTTGTTTGTTTGGAAAATTTATATTGCCGCCTATTCACTCACGTCGATTTACAGGAAATAAAAACACAATATAAAAGAAATAAAAATAATAGAATAAAAATAAAAAATGATAAAATAATTGTGGTTTGTTTAAAACCATTTGTCTGAAATGGTATAGGGTTTCCTGCCTGAGCAGGGGGTTGGACTAGTAGACCTCCAAGGTCCCTTCCAATTCTTTTATTCCATTCTTCTGTTTCGTTGAATAAAGAACCGCTGGCTGCTCATTTAATAAAGCCAACCCATGCTAGGACTTGGGACCTTGTGCGAATCCCACCCGTGGTCAAAATGTGTTTATTATTTATTTATTGAATTTATACGCTGTCCTTCCTACTCCGTATATTATATTAACGTTTGCACACAAACGACTGGAGGGGTTTTTTTGGCAGCACAAAATCAGTTGGCCTCTTTCGTTTGCGTTTTCTCTTTCGTAGGTCACAGGAAACAGCGGGGCGCAAACCCGGCAGTCGCATCCCACTTCTGGACAGGCTCTCGGCCACGAGGGGCATTTGGGAGCTTCTGGATGTCCAGCCGGAGCAAGTCAAGAGGTTGCTCTCATCGCACCAACCGGGGGTGAATAACTAACCCTTTTTAGAAGGACTAAAATTTTTGCCCAGGGTTTCTTTCCTGCAAAGCTGATCTTTTCAGATCTGTTGGGATTGGACTAATTTGCTGACCCATCAGAGTGGGGAGGCAGGGAACGTTGCGGGTCCCATCCCCAAGGGAGAAAGACCTGGTGGGACCCAGAAGAAGGGCCTTCTCCATGGTGGCTCTGTCTCTCTGGAACATCATTCCCCCAGAGATTAGAATGGCCCTCACTCTAATACTCTTCCGGAAGGCGCTGAAGACCTGGTTCTGCCAGCAGGCCTGGGGAACCTAGAGTGGGAGGGAGCCCATTCAATGGCTCGTGTGATCTGCTGTCGCCGAGGCGGGGGGTGGGAGAAGGGGGGTGATTTCGTTATATGGTACTACATTAATTTATTTGATTCCTTTTGTTACTTTTTATTGTTTTAAATGTGGTTTTATATTCTATAAGCCCCCTTGAGTCACCGTGGGTGAATAGGCAGCAATATAAATTCAATAAATAAATAAATAAATGCAGAAGAGCCTTAAACCTGGTTCTGCTGGCTGGCCTGCCACCCTGATAGGGGCACCCAAGGCCAGGGATAAGCGGATGGGATATAGAGAAGATAACATCCCCATGCCACCCATTCTTTTGTTTTTTAGTTTTCTGTTTAATCCTCTTAATTTTAATCACTTATTACTTTTTTATTATATTGTAAGCCTCCCAGAGTGGCTGTCACAGGGAGATGGGTTACTTAAAAAATTAATCACTATAAATCCTACCGAAAGGGTGAGAGAAATGGGTATTTAGGAGGTAGTGATGGTTTTGCTTTGGGATGTGATTTTCCAGCAACCTTCCTGTCTCAATTTTTCACCTCTCTCAGTCATTCATCGTTGCTAGAAATGGGAACGCCGCCACCAAGACCCTTTTCCTCCGGTTACCTGAAAGTGACAATAAGATTGTTGACCTTTTTCCTCTTGAAGACAATCCAGGTGAGTTGGTTTGGTATTGGAGCTTTCTGTCCCTGGGAGGTGAACAGGGACACCTGGCAATCTCATGGAACAATGCAGCATTAAGCGGTATTTTCAAACCAGTGCTAAAAATATCTTCAGTCAGTCTTAACGTTAGAAGAGAATTAAATGTCTATGGAGATTCCCCGTCATCCAGGTCATGGTTGTCCCAAAGGTGATTTTTCAGGAGGCAAGTGGACTTCCTTGTTTTTTCTTTGAAGACGTTTCGCTTCTCGTCCAAGAAGCCTTCACATGGTGTGGGAGTATGAAGGGATTTCCAAACAAATTGCAGACTACAGGAACCATTTGCAAGACTCAGGTGACCCTGAAGTCATAGATAAACCTCCAAGTTCCTCAGCGACTCTCTAAAAGGATGCAAATGTCCAGCTGTCTGCAAGGAATATAAATCCTTCCATTCCCCACCATCCAGTCAGAGCCGAATAAGTTCTTGGATGAGAAGCAAAATGTCTGCAAAGAAAAAACAAGAAAGTCCAATTGCTTCCAGAAAAAAGCACTTTTGGGTTAGAAGAGAATGTTTTCAGCTCAGGATTAAGCTGTGGGGTCCTTGGTGCTTTCTGAGGTGGGTAGTTTTCTTGCAGACGTTTCATTACCAAAGTAAGTGACGTCATCACACTGATGATGTTCCCTAGTTTAGCAATGAAACGTCTGCAGCAAAACTGCCAAGCTCAGAAAGCACCAAGGACCCCACAGTCCTCACATTTATGACGGAAAGATGTTTGCTTTTCTTTCCCACAAGGAAGCTGCATGAATGAATGTCTACACCAGGGGTCTCCAACCTTGGCAACTTTAAGATTTTGCTGGCTGAGGAATTCTGGGACTTGAAGTCCACAAGTCTTAAAGTTGCCAAGGTTGGAGACCCCTGGTCTACATTTTCGGGGTTCTAGAGTTATACATGTAGAGGAGAAACCGGGAGTGTGGACCCCTTCCTTTCCCTTCTCTGGCAGCCCCCCCAAAATTTCACCTCCTTTGCTTGATCTCATGATGGGAACCCAAAGTGTGGGAAATAGGAAATGTCCAGACTTTGAGCTACCGTTCCTCACTTCCTTGCCCCAACCAGTTGCTGGACCTCAACACTCACCGTGTCTCTTCTGGGGAATTTCGAAACATCATTTCCTTCTACTTAAAAGAGGAAGTAGTTTGGAGAAGCACCAGTTGTTGCAGGCTGCATACTTGCCTTGTAAACTGGCGACCTCCTTAAATTCTTGACCGTTAGTTCTGCCTTTTTCCCTCCATTCTCCGGCTCTCACTTTTTTCTCAACTTGCTTCCCCTGAATTTGGTGTTCCCCGTCTCTGAACAGGTGAGGAATTCTTCCTTGTGTTAAATATGTATTTTTAATCCTACCTTGCTTCTAGGCAAAACAGCAATGTAAACAGATGCGCTCTCTCTCTCCCTCTCCCTCTCTCCCCCCCCCTCTCTCTCTCTCTCTCCCCCCCCCTCTCTCTCCCCCTCCCTCTCTCTCCCCTCCTCCCCCAAAACAGGGAGGATTCCTCCCCAAGTAAACTTAAGGAAATGAATAAGGGGGCGAGGGAGAGAAGCACCTTTCCCATCCAGGGGAAGAAGAAAGCCAGGGCTCTCCATCAGGGGTGTCCAATCTTGGTAACTTTAAGACTTGTGGACGTCAACTCCCAGAATTCCCGATGGCTGGCTGGAGAATTTGAGGAGTTGAAGTCCACAAGTCTTAAAAGTTGCCAAGATTGGACACCTCTGCTCTGCATAACAACTGGAAAGAACTGGTACAGCTTCCAGTTTTCTCTTGCAGAATTACCTAAATTTTGCAAAACCCAGGGGTAGGAGTGATGCCAAGTGGGCAGCTCTGTGTCTTTGGCATCTGCTGAAAATGTCAGGCTGGTTTTCTTGCTTTTCAAAATGCCACTAATTATTCCAGGGTGAATTTGTCTCACGGTTGATGTTTTAGGGCTTAAACTACTTTAATATTTATTTGAGAGCTTACACTATTGCTTCTGCGTTTCGTGCCTCAGTATAGACGGAAAACTTGAAACTTTCAAGAGAAGAGGCTCTTGGCGTTTGAAAAACAAGAGTGTTCAGGATCCTTATCCTTGCCTTGAAGGAAGGAAGGACGTAGAGAACACGAAACCACAGAATCAGAATCCTAGGGCTGGGAGGGAGCTTGGAGGTCTTCTAGTCTGACCCCCTGCCAGGGCAGGAGTCCCTTATTTCTTCCTGGCCATCTTTTCTTGAAAACTTCCAGTGATGGAGCACCCACAACTTCTGAAGGCAAGCTCTTCCATCGTTCTCACTGTCTGGAAATTTCCCCTTCATTCCAGGCTGGATCTCCCTTTGACCCAGCCCATCCATCCCACTTCTTGGTTCAATATTTTTTTTCCCCTGCTGGTTGATTACCTCTTCTTCCTGAGATGATCCTGGCCCTGAGATCTTTTTCTCAGACCAGAAGTGTCAGTAAGTGGAATTTCAGACTTCCTTCTGCCCTCCAGATGTTCTGTTGTGAACGGCGGATATGTCCCAATCCACCGAGGGAAGCGTTGAGTCAGGTTGTTGGGGCATCGTGCAAGTCATTAATTTCCAGACTCTCTTCTTTTTTTCCCCTTTGCCTTTAGTAGGAAATTGTGAAAAGAAATGGGAAGAAATTGTTCTGATTATAAAGCATGTGCTTCACTAGTAAGCACTGGCCAAGGACGGAAGCTTCCTCCCTCCCCCTCCCCCCCCCCCCGCAATCATCTATAGATAGTCCTCGTTCAGCCCAAAATTTCCGTGGCTAAGCGAGACAGCTGTGGAGTGAATTTAACGTTCTGGCCGTCATTGTTAAGCGAATCACTGCAGTTGTTAAATTAGCAAAATGGTTGTTAAGCGAATCTGGCTTCCCCATTGATGTTGCTTGTCCGAAGGTCGCAAAAGGGGACCACGTGACCCCTGGACGCTGCGATTGTCATAAATATGAGTCAGCTGCCAAGCGCCTGAATTTTGATCACAAGATCATGGGGATGCTGCAATAGTCGTAAGTGTGAAAAGCGGTCATAAGTACATGCCACTTGCCAAGCATTTGAATTTTGATTACGTGACCAGAGAGGTAAGTCATTTTTTTCGATACTGCTGTAACTTTGAACAGTCACTAAACAAATTCTCTCTCTCTCTTTCCCTCCCTCCCTCCCTCCCTCCCTCTTTCTTTCTTTCTTTCTTTCTTTCTTTCTTTCTTTCTTATTTTCTTTCTTGCTCTTTCTTTCTTTCTTTTCCTTCCTTCCTTCCTTCCTTCCTTTCTTCTGCAGCCCTTCACCTCAAAGGTTCTCAGTTGTATTTCAGAAACCTTTTGGAACTGCTTGGCTTTCACTTTGTGAGCAGGTGAGCCCCAGGGAGAGGGAGGTTGTGGTGTTGAAGTGGGCTGGGAGGAATTTACAGGTGCTGAATGTGACTTTCATTAATCCGGTAAGGGCCAGATATCAGGCTCCTAGCATCTGCCCTCTCCCAAATATTTCCGTTCCTCGGAAGACCTTCCAAATTGTAAGAGGAGATTGGGCAGGCTTTGGGAAAAGAGGTGTAGGAAAGAAATATCAGACCGCATGCCCTGACTATAATCTTTAATGGTCCGTTTTACTCTTTTAATCCTTTAACTATTTTTAACTTGTTTCTATCATTTGTAAGCCACCCAGAGTCACCTTGCGGAGAGGGTCAGCATAGAAATGTAATAAATAACTAAATCAGTCATAAATGAATGGGGAAAAAAGGTAGCACGGAAGGCCTACAAGGAGCCAGTCATGGGTATCATCGTTTTTGTCATTGGGCTTCTCTTCCAGGGATATCCTGCCCTGTTTGCTCAGGATCGCCCATGCCTTTCAACTCCCTGGCAGAGCTGATTTAGATGCAGTTGCCACCTTGGGCCCAAGTGAGTGAGAATACCCCACCTTCTGCTTTGGGATTTGGGGAGGGTTTGCCTAATCGGATTGCTTAATATCTGTACTCTGTGGAACTTTGCAACGTGGTTTTTCATTTGAACAAGTGCACGCAGTTTTCGAGAAAGTGGAAGCTTTCATTTTATTCGGAAAGAAGTTGTTAGATCTTTCTTTCCACTCCAGACTTACCATAGGGATTCCGGTGGAAGAGAATATTTGTATCTCAGGGTTGAATGGGGTGGGTGGGGTGGGTGTGTCCTTGGTGCTCTCTGAGCTTGGTGGTTTTCTTGTAGACGTTTCACTACCCAACTAAGTAACATCATCAGTGCTAGATGGGAGTGTCATTTGTGGAGAAGAGGAGGAGAAGAGTGTGTGGGTGTGTCTGGTGCTCTCTGAACATATTTCATTACCTGACAAAGTAACATAATCAGTGCATTGAAGATGTTACCTAATTGGGTAATAAAACATTTGATGTCATAGAACAGTTTTGAAGCCCCCCCTCCGCCCCCCCCCCCAGGGTTCCTCTCCTCCATTTCTTGTTTTTTTTTTCCCCTCCTCAGCATTCTGGGCAATGCCTCTAAAACCTACCAACGGCCTGGGCTCAGACGACGCAGAAGCCAGCTGCATGGAACCCAATGGGGACCTGCTGAAATCCAAGAAGCCCTCGTGCTCCATCCGCGTGACGTCCGAGGACGCCGCCCTGTGCATCGTGAACCCCCTCTTTCTTTCCGTGCACAGCGACATCGAATGGCTCGACCTGGCCCCCGGCCTCTACCACTCGACACGCAGGCGGGGATCCCAGCCGCTCGCCAATGGCTCAGCGAGGCAAGAAGCCCCAGTTAGTCTGGAACGTCTCAAGTCTCTGGAAGAGAAAGAGAAGACGGGGGAAGGTAAGGTTTGGGAAGCTCTCGGGGGCGGGAGGGGGGCTTATGGGTATAAACTCCCCCCCCCGGTTCTCCTGTTTCGGAAGAGCATGATTTACCAATAGAAGAGAATCTTTGTAGCTTAGTGTTGAACTGTGGAGCCCTTGGAGCTCTCTGAGCTTAGGGGTTTTCTTGCAGACGTTTCATTACCAAACTAGTTAATGTCATCAGTGCTAGCAGTAGCATTGATGATGATATCTAGTTTGGTAATGAAATATTTGCAAGAAAACCACCAAGCTCAGGGAGCACTAAGGACGCCAGAGTCTCCTCCTCCTCCCCCTCCACTCCACAAACTCCACACCCATCTAGCACTGATGATGCTACCTAGTTGGGTTATGAAATGTTTTCAAGAAAAGCCCCAAGCTCAGAGAGCACCGAGGATCCCACAGTCGTCCTCCTCTTCCTCCTTCTCCTCTTCCTCCTCCTCCTCCTCCTCCTGTACTCCACAAACCCCACTCCTTACTAGGACTGATGATGTTACCTAACTGGGTCATGAAATGTCTGCAAAAAAACTCCCAAGGTCATGGAGCACCAAGGACCCCACAGTTAAACCCCGGGCTACAAAGATTCCTTTTCTATTAGTAGATACTACTGTGTAATATCACCAGTTGGCATTCTAGATGGTAGATGGAATAACACAGATTGACTAATTTGCCCACGGGCTCCTTTCTTGCCGTTTTCTTCCCTGCAGACCCTCCACCCTGCTCAGCCTCTACGCAAGGGGATTTCCTTCCTTGCACACCGTCCTGGAAGAGTTCGGAAACAGAGGCCCTGCCACTGTGGTCTCCCACGGTGTCCCAAAAGGAGACCCGCTCTCCCCACCGTGTTTCCTGGGTGGAAGGGATCTCGGCCGACGCTTTTCCCTGCTTGAAAAAGGCCCGTTCCGAATCCTTGTTGCTGAACGACTCCATGTTGCTGCCTCTCATCCCGGAATTGGATTCACTCTCCATCAGCAGCATGGAGGACGAGGGCGAGGGTCTCCCTCCTGCCACCCCTTCACCGCAGAAGAGACGGCGCCCCTCCTCCATCACCTTCACCCACAAGGTGCTCCACCGTCTCTCAGCCATGAGCAGTGCCCTGACCGGCTTCCTCTCGCTCGAGCGCCGGGTCGCCAAGCGGGTGCAAGAGCTGGTCCAGGAGCCCACGTCGGACGTGGGAGGCCTGGTGCAGAACTTTGTGGAGCACATCCAGCAAGGAGCTGGGTCCCGGCACCCAACCAGCACTGAAATGCTGCAGGAGATACGGCATATGATCAGCAATCTGAAGGGCTACCTGGGCGAAAGTTCGGATCTGCGCGCCTCCTACTGCGAATATGGTGATGCCGAGGAACTGGATCTCGGTATGGAACGGGGTCTTCCGAGAGATTTGGGGGCGGGGAGTCCGAAAATGATCCATTTTGGGTAGCAGTGATGGCTGCACAGCAGAGATGCCTCAGTAACAGCCGGCAGGATTGGGACCCCACAGTTCGACTTTGAGCGACAAATGTTCTCTTTAGTGCTGGAAGGGAGTGGAAGTGGAGGAGAAGGAGGAGGAATATGGGGTTCTTGGGGTTCTCTGAGCTTGGTGGTTTTCTTGCAGGCGTTTCATTACCCAGCTAGGTAACATCATCAGTTTTAGAAGAGAGGGGGGCTTGCAGAGAGAGGGAGGAGGAAGAGAAGGAGTACTGTGGGGTTTGGTGCCCTCAGAGCTTGGTGGTTTCCTTGCAGGCGTTTCATTACCCAGCTAGGTAACACCATCAGTTTTAGAAGAGAGTGGGGGCTTGCAGAGAGAGGGAGGAGGAAGAGAAGGAGTACTGTGGGGTCCTTGGTGCCCTCAGAGCTTGGTGGTTTCCTTGCAGATGTTTCATTATTAAACTAAGTAACATCATTGGTGCTAATTAAACCAACCCTGTTCTACAGGGGTTGAACCCTGAGCTACCAATACTCTCTTCTCCTGGTAGAGCAAAGTTTCGCTAGCAACTCCTCTGTCTGCAACGACTCCCAAGGAGTTCACCCCTCAAGTCCGTTTCCCAGAAAACTGATCATAAATATCTCTTGCCCTATCTCCGAACAACTGAAAATACTTCTGCGGTTTCCACTCTGGGCTCTAGGCAGGTTTACGACAGGGTCTGCTGACACGAACGCCGATAGCTTAGGAAATCAACCCGGTCTGTGGTCGGGATTGTGATGTAAGCAGTGCCGTGTGTGGCTTTGACAGTTGAAGGAGAGGTTTGGGGCGGTGGATGTGACGGGGATGGGGGGGGGAAAAACCAGAAACCAATAAAAGAGACTATTCGTAGCTCAGGGTTGAAATGAGGGGCCTCATTTCTCTGAGCTTGGTTGTTTCCTTGCAGGCATTTCATTACCCAGCTAGGTAACATCTACGGTGATAGAAGGGAGTGGGGTTTATAAAAAAAGACCAAACCTCACTCCGTAGTAGCACTGAAGGTGTAATCTAGCTGGGTAATGAAACGTCTGCAAGGAAACAAGCAATCTCAGAGAGTCCCAAGGACCCCCACAGTCCTCCTTCTCCTGCACTCCCTTCTAGCACTAAAGAGAAGGGTTGAAATGAGGGCTCCTTGGGGTTCTCCGAGGTTGGGGGTTTTCTTGCAGGCGTTTCATGGCCCAACTAGGGAACCATCATCAGTGCCAGAAGACAAGCAATCAAAGAATCAAGCAGTAAACAACATCTTAGTCAAGGAACCACCAAGAACAAACCCACCAACACTGACAGAGCAAGCCACTTGAATATAAATAGACAGCAAGCCCTTCCACAACTGATGACATTACCTAGTTGGGTCACAAAATGTCTGCAAGAAAACTACCAATCTCAGAGAGCACCAAGGCCCCAAGAGAGCTACTTTCAACAGACAATTAAAAAGTGGGAAGCTTTTGAGCTCACCTGCACATCCTTTTGTGCAAAATTTGGAAGAAGCTTTGGGCTGCAAATTAAATTCCAGCTTTAAGATCTTTTTCTAAAGACAGATAATCCCAGCTGGTTTCCTGTGTTAGTTTCCCACAAGGTTTTCAGGTCATGTTTACCCAAATGGGTTTATCTTCTGGTAAGTCTCCAAAAACAGCTGGACAAAGGTGGGAAAGCTTTCTTAACTCGGCAGCCCTTGAACCCAGTTATGGCACGGAAGGAGGTTGTAGGTTCAGTCTCGGTCCTTGCAGCTCAAAAAAGGCAGGGGAACAGATGATGGGACATCTCTGCATAAGCCATGATTGGTTTGACCAGTGATGTCTTGAAGACACATCGGTGATTGGGTTCCCACCTGGGGCCCCAAGCTAAAATCTGTGATTTGCAAATTGAATTAACACTGAAGCGGGGTGGACTTCAATTCCCAGAATTCCCCAGTTTCTCAACTTTGGCAATTTTAAGAGGGGTGGACTTCAACTCCCAGAATTCCCCAGCCAGCCATGCTGGCTGGGAAATTCTGGGAATTGAAGTCCACCCCTCTTAAAATTGCCAAAGTTGAGAAATACTGGACTACACTACACCAAGGTAAGGCTGGGCAACCTGTAGCCAGTGAAAGTATATAAGAATGGCCATGAAGAACATAAAATCAGCATACCAACATTGGAAAAGCAAGACATCTTGCTCAAAATATTGAAAATGTCAGTCCTACCTACAGATGCGATGCGGCCCTATCCACTTTGTTGCTCTCGACCTTCCTGAGATGTTAACTGCTACTGTTGTAGGCCAAAGGGTTGCTCCATCTTGGACAATATGACCTAAACAGACGAAGTTGGCTTGCAACCAATTGCCTAAGATGTTAGTCCCTAACACCAAAGGACCCTCCTCTTGGCTCCAAGGTCATTCTCTTGACTTTGGGGGACAGGAGGCTAAAACATACAAAGAATAGGTGCAGGAATTGGGTATATCTAGTTTCATCAAAAGAAGGACTGGAGGGGACAAGACTGCAGTCTTGCAATATTTGAGGGGCTGCCACAAAGAGGGGGGTCGACCTATTCTCCAGAGCACCTGAAGGCAGGACAAGAAGCAACGGATGGAGACTAATGACGGAGAGAAGCAATCTAGAACTAAGGAGAAATTTCCTGACAGTGAGGACAATTAATCATTGGAACGACTTGCCACCAGAAGTTGTGGGTGCTCCAAGAAAAGATTGGAGAGCCAATTGTCTAAAATGTTATAGGGTTTCCTGCCTGAGCGGGGGGGGGGGGGGGGTCGGACTAGAAGACCTCCAAAGGTCCCTTCCAATTCTGTTATTCTTCTTCTGGCCCAGGTTCCGTGGTGGAAGATGCCCTTTACAAATGCATCCTGAAGCCGCTGAGAGATACGATTTATGCCCAGTTGCTGGACTTCCATACCCGGGATGGGTCTCTGAACCGTTTGCGTGAAAATCAGCTGACTTTGAGCCAGCAAAGCTTGGAAGAGCTCGGAGTGGCAGCCGGGGTGCCCGACGGGGCTTGCCTGGAGCGTATCCAGACCAAGCTGAGTCTCCTGCACCAGGCCTACTCGCCCAAGAAGAAGGAGATGCAGATGCTGAAGGTCTGCAAGATGCTTTATGAGGCCATGAACCTCCACTGCGAGAAGGCAGGTAGGAAGCTTCTGGGTGGGCTACTTCTCAATTCCGTTAACATCTACTTCCGTGATCACGGAAGACATTGATAGGGGGAGGGGAGAAAGTAGGGGAAGGTTACAATAATAAAGGCAGGAAATGAATAAATAAATACAGGTAGTCTTCCACTTACAACAGTTAGTGACCGTTCAAAGTTACGACGACATGGGAAAAACTGACCTATGACCAGTTTTCCCACTGATGACCATTGCAACATCCCTCTGGTCATGTGATCCAATTAAAACTGTTTTTCCACTCTTGACGACTTTTGTAGCATCCCCATGATCACGTGATCAATATTCAGATGTTTGGCAGCTGGCTCATATTTATGACGGTTGCCGTGTCCCAAGGCCCTTTTGCTAACTTCTAACCAGCAAAGTCAACTGGGAGGTCAGTTTGATTTAACAACCAGGTTACCAGGTTATCAATTGCAACAATTCACTGAACAACTCAGGCAAGAAAGTGGGGCAAAACTTAACAAACGTCTCACTTAACAAAAAGCTTGGGCGCTCAATTGTGGTCATAAATCGAGGACTACCTGTAAATAAATAGAAATAAATATTGCCAAGCATCCTCAGCCCCCGCTTCCTTCCTTCCTCCCTGAGCTGCTTCAGATGTCTGCTGCCCCTCCCCATAATATGCCTTTGCTTTCTATTTTTGGAAGAGCCGTTTGGTGCCGATGACTTCCTGCCAGTTCTCATCTATGTGCTAGTGCGCTGCGATGTGGTGTCCATACAGCTGGATGTGGAGTACATGATGGAGCTGATGGATCCCAGTCAGCTGCAGGGAGAAGGTAGGGTGGGCTTGCTGGGCTCCAGCTGGATCTGTTTCCAAGGAAGAGTTTTCTTCCACTAGCCATTAGGAGATCATCTTAAGTTCTTGCTAAGACTCAGAGGTTCTTCTAAATGTGGAATGAAAGTCCTGGTCAGTCACCAGGAGGCAGTGAATTCTAGTCCTGCCTTAAGCTGAAAAGTGGCTAGTCTCACCTTAGACATGAAAGCTGGCTGGGTAACTTTGGGCCAATCGCCAGGGGACAGTGAGTTCTAGTCCTGCCTTAGACACGAAAACTGGCTGGGTGACTTTGGTCCAATCTCTCAGTCTAACCTACCTCATAGGGTTATTGTGGGGAAAATAAGAGGATTCTTGCCTCTTCAATAATTGCCGCTTCAGTTATTTAAAATAATAAAAATTGAACAATAAAATAAAATTGAACAATTAAATAAAGATTGTACTTTCTGTATTAGAAGCCTTGGGGTTATTCAAAGTGCCCTGTTGCACAGGGAAGTGCCCTACCTATTGTTGCCTTGAAAGGTGAGAGGAGACAACAAGAAACCCACAAGACTGGCTTGAAGTTGCTTGGGGGGCTTAACTTGATCTTGCAAAAGATCCGTCAGAAACCTTCGAACTGTCACTCCCAAGATTTTTTCCGAAACCTTACTGTGTTTCCCACGTTCCTATCCTCCCTTCCCCTCCTCCTGCGTTCTAGGGGGCTACTACCTCACCACCTGGTTCGGGGCTCTCTACCACATTGAAAACTTCCAAGCGACTTTTACCCTCACCAGGCAGATCAGCGTGGAGGCCCAGCACTCCATCCATCAGTGGCATCGCCGCCGAACCATCCATCACCACCATCGACGCAATTTGCAGGTGAGGGTGGAAGGCAGGTGAAAAGAGAACATTAAAGTCGAAAAGGCAAGGCAAAACATCCCTTCAGTGTTTCTCAAACCGTGGCAACTTTAAGTGATGTAGACTTCAGTTCCCAGAATTGAAAATTTCTGTTGCTAAGTGAGACATTCGTTAAGTGAATTTTGCCCCATTTTACGAACTTCTTTGCAACAGCTGCGAAGTGAACCACTGCAGTTGTTAAGTTAGTGACGCTAACTAAGTGAATCTGGCTTCCCCATTGACTTTGCTTATAAATAAATACGAGTTATAAATATGAGTCAGTTGCAAAGCATTTGAAATTTCAGTCATGTGACCATGGAGATGCTGCAATGGTTGTAAGCGTAAAAACTAGTTCATAAGTTACTTTTTTCCAGTGCCGTTGTAACCTTGACAAGTCACTAAACGAACTGTTGTAAGTTGAGATCTTCCTGTACTGGGACAACATTTTTATGTCCAATTAGACGAGTTTTGAAGCAGTTGAATATTGAGGTACCACTGCAAATAGATGTTCTCTATAATCCTCAGTGGAAGAGGGTCCATCCATCTCTGGCTCTCCTTCTCTTTCTTTACACCATTCGTGGCATTTGACCCTTTTCCCCACAGACTTCGGTCTTTGCATGATGACTTCCCGGTGAGTTTGAGCCCATTGTTGGGATGCTGTGACCCCCATGGTCATTCGTTGTCTTCCTTCTTTTCAGCACACCCTCTACGTCTCCTTCCACGAACCCTTCAATAACCAGAAGACCATCTCCGTTCCTCCCGACATGACCACGGCATTGGTCTGTGCAGCCTGTGCGGAGAAGTATGGCATCTCTGACGGTGCCGCCTATGGCCTTTTCGTGGTATCGGACAACTCCTCTCAACTCTTAACGGAGGACAGCTGCCCACAGAAGATCCGTGCAGAACTCCTCCAAAGAGAGGGCAGTGTCAGTTTTGTTTACAAGCCCAAAAATAGCACCCTGACCGTCTCTGGTTCCGGTCTGCTTCTGGAGGCTGTCAACTTGACTGAGTCCCACAAGCCTCTTGGAAGGGTGGGGATGGAGCAGTTGGACGGGGATTGACTATGGCCATGGACCTTCCTTCCTTGTCTTGTCTGGGTTGGATGAAGTTTCCAAGTTGGCCTAAATCAGGAGTCAGCAATCTGTGGCTCTGGAGCCGCATGTGGCTCTTTCACCCCTCTGCTGCGGCTCCCTATCACTCAAAATATGCATCACAACCGCCAATGTGCGACACGCCCCTGCACCCTATTTATTGAGCTTTTCAACCCCTGGTAGGCCAACCATGGATAAATCCAAGAAAAGAAAAGTTTCAGAAGAAAACAGAACGTTTAATTCAACTAAATATGTTAGTTTTGTGGCCGCTCAAGAAATAGTCAGGCACGGAAAGGGTTTAATGGCTCCCGGTGTTTTCTTTTCTGTGGGAAACGGATCCAAATGGCTCTTTGAATGTTTAAGGTTGCAGGCCCCTGGCCTAAATCCAGGAAAAGGCTGAGTTTCTAGGGATTAGACTAAACTAAGACTGGCTCAATGTCAGACCTGTCTCAGCTTGAGTCTCTAAAAAAGAACAATCCTTAATTCTGTTTTGTTTTGTTTTACAAAGATATAGTTAACTAGATGTCAAGTGAACTACAGCAGTGCAAAGCCAGAACTGAAAATCGCGCGCCAAAATCCCCAAGTCTAACTTTCCTTTCTTTAGATACCTCCCCATGCTGACACCCCCTCCCCCCCCATGTCCAATCAAATTCAAAGAAGATATTTTCCGAACGGTCTCTTTGATATGCAGCTGTATTCCGTTCTCCAGCTGGTCGACCTTGAAACCCACGTCTCGAGGAGATACGGTCAACTTTTTGTTTTCCTTGAATCCTCCCCCCCCCCATGCAGCCCCCCCCCCCCGAGTTCATGGCAGTCTGGCACTGAGTGATAGCAAAAGGCACGCCTGAAGTGGCAGCTGACATGAGGACTACAGAGGAGAAATCTCTTGAGCAGAAGATCTTGAAGTGCTGAAGTGCTCACCTTGGCAGTGGCTGTCGTCATCCCTAAAACTAGTAATGGAGAGGAATGGACTGTTATTAAAGTTGTTCTAACTGTCCTCCTTCTGGTTCCTCCCCACCCAAAAGGGGAAGAACCAGCCTAACACGAAGGTTTCTAACAGAGGAACTGGGAGAAAAACATAAATGACGTCACCAACTCCAGGCTGCGAAGGTCTCCAACTTTCACACGTAACTTCCTTCTCTCCCCTTTTGCTCAACTTTTTTATTGCCTTCTCTGATCAGCTTTTCTGCAGAGTTGGCCCCGTGTCTCCAATCGTACAAACCGAGTGCATTTCGCTACACACACCGTGGGCTGGCTGGAAGGCTTTTTCGCCCACCCAAGACAGACTTATCGAGTGGATTCTGGAAAAGTCAATTAAACGTACTGGCTTAATTTTTACATCTCCCTTTTTAAAATCATGTCCTTTTCTGACCCTGGATTTCTGGCGTTTCCTCCTCCCCTGTCCTTCAAGAGAATGGGAGCCATGTCTATAAATTTGATGCAGGCCTGGTATTTTGGTTTAAGCCCTTTGTAATTTTTTTAAGAAGTGCAAAGGTCCCCCCTTGGTGAACGCTGCATCCTCATAGTGGTGTTTTGCGGATAACAGTGGCCACCAAGGAATTATTTGAAGTGTCCCATCCCCCTTTTCCCAATGCTATTAATATCTTTTTACAATCAAGGCCTTACAATATCTGGAGTTTGTTGTTGTTGTTGTTGTTAGTTGCGAAGTTGTGTCCGACCCATCGCGACCCCATGGACAACATTCCTCCAGGCCTTCCTGTCCTCTACCATCCTCTGGAGTCCATTGAAGCTCAATTAAGGCGATTAAGCTGCCTGGAGTGATATATACTGAAATGGGTGTTTTTGAGGTGGATCTGATAGTGATTTCTTTACAGCGGTTTGCAATTCACAACTATTTGTTTAGTGACTGTTTGAAGTTACAGTGTTCTAGTCCAGTCCCCTGTTCAAACAGGAGACCTTATACCATTCAAGACAAGTGGCTCTCCAGTCTTTTCTTAAAAGCCTCCAGTGATGGAGTGCCCACAATTTCTGGTGGCAAGTCGTTCCACTGGTTAATTGTTCTCACTGTTGAGAAATTTCTCCTGAATTCCAGGTTGCTTCTCTCCTTGATTTGTTTCCATCCGTTGCTTCTTGTCCTGCCTTCAGGTGCTTTGGAGAATAGTGTGACCCTCCCTCTTCTTTGTGGCAGCCCCTGAGATATTGGAAGACTGTTATGTCACCCCTCATCCTTCTTTTCATTAAACTAGACATACCCACTTCCAGCAACCGTTCGATCCCGGTGCGATTTCTATCCAGCAGAGAGCAGTGTCTGTTTCCCAAGCTACTGCACACTCAGTTTTGCCCCTTGCACAATAAATGTTCCCCGTCGCGGCTCGAATCCAGAACGCCTACAGTTTGGGTCAGCAGCTGGTGTTCTGGAGGGTCACTTCAGGAGGAGCTGTGGATTCAATGGTTAAAGCTTAACCCACGCTCGGAGGCTAAAGGGGCTGTCGGCAGCACATTTTGTTCTCACAAATATCCCTGCCCCAACCTGGGCTGCCGTGTGTGTGTCTCCCCCTCCTCCCTCTTTGCTCTTCCCTGTAACCGTGTAGCCGAAACTCAACGGTGTCGGCGGGGAGTAGAGATGGCTGCTTGGGGGCGTTGAGAAGAGAGATTGGGCAAGGAAGGAAGATCTGAACATGCTTGTGGCTTCTTGGAGGGAACTGGACCTGCAAAACAAGATGTTCCTCCGCAGATCTTCTGCTAGAACAGTGTTTCACAACCTTTAGTAACTTTAGAGGTGTGGACTCCAACTCCCAGAATTACTGTGGCACCGAAAAAGTGACTTATGAATAGAATACAATAGAATTTTTTATTGGCCGAATGTGATTGGACACACAAGGAATTTGTCTTTGGTGCATACACTCTCAGTGTACATAAAAGATACGTTCGTCAAGAATCGTAAGGTACAACACCTAGTGATAGTCATAGGGAACAAATAAGCAATCAGGAAACAATATAAATCATAAGGATACCAGCAACAAGGTTACAGTCATAAGTGGAAGGAGATGGGTGGTGGGAACGATGAGAAAATTAATAGTAGTGCAGACTTAGTAAATAGTTTGACAGTGTTGAGGGAATTATTTGTTTAGCAGAGTGATGGCGTTCGGGAAAAAGCTGTCCTTGTGTCTAGTTGTTCTGGTGTGCATTCCTCCATAGTGTCATTTTGAGGGTAGGAGTTGAGACAGTTTATGTCCAGGATGTGAGGGGTCTGTAGACATTTTCCCAGCCCTCTTTTTGACTCGTTCAGTGTACAGGCCCTCCATGGAAGGCAGGTTGGTAGCCATTGTTTTTTTCTGCAGTTCTAATGATCCTCTGAAGTCTGTGTCTTATGACCGTTTTTCACACTTACGACTGTTGTGTCACCACCCACACCCCAGGGTCATGTGATTTACATTCAGATGCTTAGCAGCCGACTCATACGTATGACGGTCGCAGTGTCCCAGGGTTGTGCGATCCCCTATTTGTGACCTGACAAGCCAAGTCCATGGGAAGCCAGATTCCCTTTAACCACCGTGTTACTAACTTGTCAACTTGCAGTGATTCGCTTACCAACCGTGGCAAGAAAGTCATAAAATGGAACAAAACTCAACTTAATACTCTTGCTCAGCTACAAAAATGAACTGAGTTTCCCTTAGCCACAAAACCCAGTGGGGGGGGGGGGGGCCCCCATTGTGGCGGTAAGCCTCTGGGACCACCTGTACTCCTTCAAGCCCTCTGGAGCTGGGCCACCCCTTTGCAAAATTATTGGAGGCAAAGATTTCAGAATGGGACCTCGGAGGTCTTCTAGTCCACCCCCTGCTCAAACAGGAGACCTATACCATTTTGGATAAGTGACTCTCTTAGTAACCTCCAGCGATGAAATCTACCCGCGGACCACAAAACCTGGCTTCTCTGTGTGGCTGCCTCCCTCTGGCCCAGCTTCAGCCTCTGATCTGGAAAAGGGGGTGGGTGGGTGGGAACCTCCCCTCCCTGAGGGGGCGTGGCTTCTCCTCCAGCTGTTGGTGGCCCATGTGCTTTGAACACCTTGGAGAAGAGAGCAGTGACCGGCCTGGAAGGGCGGGGAAGTGCTGGTGGGCTGTCAAGGGGGGTGGGATGGGCTTTATAACTCGGCAGGCGGTGACTCAGCCGTGTCCAGTCCGTGTCCCCTTCGTCCTGCTTTTTTGAGGAGGGGGCTGCAGAAACCTCGGTGGGAGAATTGAAGGGTCTGCAAACACCATGCAACCTCCTGCGCTTTGGCTGCTGCTCGTCCTGCTACAACTGACAGCATCTTTTCGGTCTCCGGTAAGAAAACTTGGAAGCATTTTTTTAAGACAACTGATCAGATATTGGAAGCATAACGGGAGAGGGGTCTGGGCAGTTGTTTTGGGGAGGGGCTCCTGAATGGAGCACACTGATTCTTTGGTCCTGAATAGGGTAGACATCCCCCCCACTTTTTTTTTTTGTACTGCTATTTTTCTGGATCTTTGTTACTATGAATTCATAAATGTTTGAACGCCGCAACGCATGGCAAGGGAGATACGTGTATGCGTGTGACTTTAAACTTCTAGATATTGAAAACTCTTTTTTTTCCTAAAAAAGATCAATATTTGGCAAAGAAAGGTTATTTCCTTTGGCGGTGTGCAAAGTTAAAACTCTAAAAGCAGAGAGTTTGGGAGTCCGTTGTCTTATTTTTCATACCAAGTCTGAGAGAATCCGAGCTAATATTTGGGGCTGTTCTCTGTCCGGCTTCCCACCCCTCTTCTTTTTTTCAAACCTGGGGAAATTGTCACACTTTTGATTTAAAATAAGGCTTGGGCACCAGCCCAGCAAAAATGAAGCAAAATTTGTTTTCTATTTATTAAATAAATAGAATGAAATAGAATTTCATTCTATTTATTTAAACATTATGAATGTGTCCATAATGCGGAATGGGTTTTTGATGGTAGGTTAACTGAATTTTAATTAAATTTCAATTATCAGTGCATAATCTTTTCTTGGAAACTTGTATCATAGTTTAAGATAAAGAGGTTTGTGAACTTTGGTTGATACAGGTAGTTCTCGACTTACAACAGTTTGTTTAGTGACCGTTCAGAGATACTGAAAAAAGTGACTTATGACCGTTTTTCACAGTTACGACCTTTTCATCGTTTCCCCATGGTCAGGTGACCAAAATCCGGATGCTTGGCAACTGTTTCATACTTATGACCGTTGCTGTATCCCGGGGTCATGTGATCCTCTTTTGCAACCTTTTGGCAAGCAAAGTCAATGCGGAAGCCAGATTCACTTAACGACCGGGGTACTAACTTATCAATTGCAGTTATTCGCTTAACAACGGAGCCAAGGAAGGTCATAAATTGGGCCAAGCTCATTTATCAACTCTCTCGCCTAGCATTTTGGGCTCCATTGTGGTCGTAAGCCAAGCATTTCAGTGTTTCTTGATCTTGGTAACATTAATGCCGGCTGGGGAATTCTGGGAGTTGAAGTCCAGGCATCTTAACATTATCAAAGTTGAAAAACATTATTGTATACATTAATTGAGCCTCTAACTGCCCTCCCTATGACACTCAAAGATGTTTTGTGTTCCATTTCTTGCAGAAAATACGTTTGCAATATTTTTTTAAAAGTAAGTTTTATAAGTTTTAACGTTCAAGTCTTCTCTGCCACAATCTTTTATCCATCTTCACGTAAAGTCATTTTGACTTTGTGATGGTCCCTGGGTAACTTCACTTTATTTATTAGCTGGCTCTCCCTAGGCCCAGGTGGAAAATTACGGTGAGCAACGGAGCTTCCATGTTTACAGATGTTAAAAAAGAGAAAGAAAAAAGAGGCACAGTGACATTTATGTCACCATGTGCCAAGGTTGATGGATAGCTGTAAACACGGAAATCTCTAATCTTACTTTGCCTGTTGTTAACCTCTTTTGCAAAGCTCTTAGTGCTTATCTTAGCTTACGGAATAGACGAGTCCTTGCTGAGGTTTTTGTGTAGTGTTTTTCCTAGGATTCCTTCGCCTTCATGTTCCTAGAATTACCTTGAGAGAACATGGGCAGCCTCTAAATGTTATAAATCAAACAAAGACATGTTTTCTTTCCAAATCTCCCATTGTTCACACCTTCTGGCTTAACCTCTTACTCACCTCTTAAGTCCAAGTGTGTATAACTCTTATCAATATGCATCTTTCCTCCATTCCCCTCTCCCCGCTCAGGGTTGTGAAATTGTAGGTGTTAACGCTCTGAGAAGAAGACCTTCCTATATAGACAGTGAAGGGTTGCCTCTCATTCTTCTACATGACAAGTCAGGATCGCGGCATTTGGGACTTGAGGTGGGATGTTGGACATCGGCTCTAGAGTCCTGTCT